GAAACCTGCTAAAATTAAGACTTGGCTGGGGACTCAGCTATACAGCTGCAAATATAATGTTTTAAGTGCACTATACAAATGCGACACTAGATGGAGATGTTTAGGTAATGGCAAATTCAATATATATTTTAAAACTTTTTTTTTAAAAAAAAGGCCCATTGATTTCAGCAGGCAGGTCTACTCTGAGTAATACTTAGTTGAATACCACCCATTGGTTCACACACACACACTTCATTTGCTGGAAGCTGTTTTGTGAGGGTTCTCCTTGGAATGTGGAATATAATTTTATGAAATAAATATTTTACATTTCTTTTACCTTGATGAAGAATAAATGTAAAATGTCAGGCTATATCTTTCCCCCAGCAGCTATCGGCAGGGATGGAGGAACTAAAAATAGTCAAGGGTTTTGCCTTTCCCCATTCTTTGTGAAAGCCTCAGCTCCCACCAGTAGCTCTGGAGGCAGCTAAAGGACTATGACTCAGCTGCCTCCCACTGATGCTACTCCTTCACCCCCCACCCTCTGCTCAGAGATGACATATGAAAAGAAAAACTATTTCTCTCCACCTACTTTGGCTGTTGAGCTGTTCTACTTTCCTCTTTGTTGGCCATTGCATAAGAACTGTTCTTTCCATCTTCTTGAAACTTTGATAACAATACAGCGGGCTGTTTGTGTATTAAAGCACTGCTCATAGTCTGACCACAGTGGTCTATGCATTGGGGTAACCTCAAGACTTGATTACTGTATTATGTTTCATGTAGGGCAGCCCTTGTATCTGGTCTGGAAGCTGCAAGGGCCAGATGATTCACAGAGGCAGGCTACTGGCAAAATGTCACTCCTCTTCTAAGAGAGCTGTGCTGGTTTGCCAGTTTGCTGCCAGGCCAGGTTTGCAGCTCTTGTCTTAATTCGCAAAAGCCTACACAACTTGGGCCCAAATACCTTGAGGACTGCCTGTCTCCTTACACTCCACCTTGATCACCAAGATCCACCGATGGGGCTCTTCTTGTGCTTCCTCACACCCCTGAGGTTCGCTTGGCTTCTGAAAGGGACCAAGCCTTTCATGTGGCTGGCTCTGCTCTGTGGAACTCCCTGCCAATAGACGTTCAGCAGGAATCACCCTTGCCTTCTTTTAGATGTCTTCTCAAAACGATGTTATTCAGACAGGCCTTTGCAATGTGCATTTCTTTTTATTTATGCTTTTACTGGTGTTTTTATTGTAATTTTGTATGCTGTAGACCACCTTGCTGGGCTGTTGTTTTTTAATGAAGGCATGATATGAATATTTCAATAAATAACCCCAGTTTATTATTGCATTGCTTGGCCCATGGCTGAATTTCATCCAACCCGTGGCATCAGTTCACTCTGGTCACTTCCCCTTCTCCCCCACCCCACGTATCCTTGCCCCCAGCCCATCTTCTCTTTGACTCTTCCCCTCTTGTTGAGAGAATGGAAGCAAAGCAACCAAGACCTCGTGAAGCCCTTGAAATCCCACCAGCAGACCAGATTTAGGGTGGTGTGAGTGGTCTCCCCCCCCAACCCACAGGGCACTGAGCTAAGGAATGTAAAACCACAACAACAAACCTATATTTATATGGGTACCTACTGAGAAGATTCATAAAAAAGCAACTGTACCAAATGGAATTGTGGTGAAAATAATAAATCTTTAGAGGGGGCGCCAAATTTTGTCCTTGCCCAAGGCGCCGTATTACCAAAGCCCATCACTGCCACCAGCAGGATCCAGACCCATGGCAAGCTCACATGATTCAGTTGTGACACTTCTCCAAAAGGTTTGGTGGAGGTGGCTGCAATTAAAACTGAAGTGCTTTGCTTTTTTGCTCTTCTGGAGAAAGAAGACTTTTTGTCTTCTTTTATCTATTCCAATCAATACATTTGATTGTTGTTCTTCTTCTACTACTACTTCCTCTTCCTCTTGTTGCTGTTCTGCTTCCATATTTTAGAAATGCATGACCTGCATGGATATCTGGGCAGATAAAGGAGACCAAGCTATATACATGCACACACAAAGAGGGATGTTATCTCTTCCATTGTGTCATTGGTGTTCTCTGTGGCCTGTGGATAGCCAGATCAAAGAAGGCTGAATCAGAATCTCAAGCCCAAAGAACATAATGGAAAAACAGAGTGGACAGTCAGCAACTATAGTACAGTAATTGTCAATGGTGAGGATGTGGCTAGGCTAGGGCTGGAGAAGGAGCAGCAGTTTTGGATTCAGGCCAAAGATTATCTCACAGCTGTGTATAATAGAATAGTGGCAGTTAATGGAGTTCTTCATGACCAGTCCTAGTTGTATAAGGATTCCCTGGGATTTTACTGAGTATTGAGAAAAGTATGCACGTGATCAGAGGTATAATCTTCATTATTTACTCCTGCATTCCCAAACTGAGCCTTGACAATTCAAAAATTTCCAGGGCTGAATCTGGGGCTGAAATTAAGCACTGATAAGAGCCATGAAGTTTCTAGAAGCAGAGAAAAAAGAAAGGTGGACAAGGACGCCATATCATAACATTTATATTATCATCATATATAAAAAGGTAAAGGGACCCCTGACCGTTAGGTTCAGTCGTGGCTGACTCTGGGGTTGTGGCGATCATCTCACTTTATTGGCCAAGGGAGCCGGCGTACAGCTTCCGGGTCATGTGGCCAGCATGACTAAGCCGCTTCTGGCAAACCAGAGCAGCGCACGGAAATGCCGTTTACCTTCCCGCAGGAGCGGTCCCTATTTATCTACTTGCACTTTGACGTGCTTTCGAACTGCTAGGTTGGCAGGAGCAGGGACTGAGCAACGGGAGCTCACCCCGTCGCGGGGATTCGAACCACCGACCTTCTGATCGGCAAGTCCTAGGCTCTGTGGTTTAACCCACAGTGCCACCCGTGTCCCATCATCATATATACAATGCGAGTATTATGAGAAGGGTGACAAGAGATTTATTGTAATGGTTCAACATACATACGAAGAGGCTTGATAGCGTCGGTTGTTGTGGCCATCTAAAAAATGAAACATAAACTAATAAAGTGGCATATCTACTCAAAAGTAAGTCCCACTGCTTACTTGCCAGTAAATGTGTACAAGACTGCAGTCTTGGTGGCTATGGGGGGCAGTCAGAGGTTGCCTCAACACTAACAGGATGTGCGGCTGGATCTCACTGTTTCACCAGCTTTTTCTTCTTCCCCCTTTTCTGCCACGGATTAGACTAACCCCACACTCCATATGTTCCTGCTTGTTGAGTAGCTTCTGATAGGAAAAGATGTAAGTAATGTGCCTAACCTCGTTGCTGTAGGGAGGGAAACAAGTCTTTAAAACTTGAGCTTGGAAAGTGGATCAGCTGCAGACATGGTTTTGTAGCCACCTACAGTCCTTGACTAACAGCAGAAATCCCATGCTGTGCCTATGAATACACACGAGGAAACCTTGGCTGTGGCTCCCAGAGGGCTGATTCACACATGCATCACTGGATGACTCACCGTTTGGTGAGTCACACAGCTGAATGTGTGATTTGCTGCATTGAAAACCCTTGCACTGAAGGTGATGGCAAGCTACAGGAAAGCTGATGTACAAGATGTGATGGCTGTTCCAGACCTGTAACTCATTGCCCCGGGCTGTCCACATGCACCTGCTCCCCCCCCCCCCGGATTTCTTTGTGTCCTCCTCTCCGCAAGCTTTTCAAACAAGTGCAAAGAGCAGTACAGTGGTACCTCGGGTTGCATACGCTTCAGGTTACATACGCTTCAGGTTATAGACTCCCCTAACCCAGAAATAGTGCTTCAGGTTAAGAACTTTGCTTCAGGATGAGAACAGAAATCGTGCTCCAGAGGCGTGGCGGCAGCAGCAGGAGGCCCCATTAGCTAAAGTGGTGCTTCAGGTTAAGAACAGTTTCAGGTTAAGTACGGACCTCCGGAACGAATTAAGTACTTAACCCGAGGTACCACTGTATAGATCTATTGAACCAATCCCAGCCTGTATTTATATTCTGTTCCTTCCCCATTTTGTCTAGGATCCGGTCTCTATCTGATGAGCGCACGCTTTTCCTAGGTGGGTTCATTCATAAGATTTGTGGACAGACCTCCCGCCACTTACCCTCTCCATTTTAAAAAAAGTGGGGGAGCACTTTTGTGCAAAAGCAATGTTACACCAGCTACAAATGCTTTGGCAATGCTTTTTCTGTCTGATGGGTGAGGGTTTCTTAAAAAAAACCTCGAAGTGTGAGTGAGCAGAGATCAAGGGATAACACTGAATGAAAGCTTGTATGAATGGTTACTGAAGAGTTACCAGGATAGTGAAGCAGTTTGGGATAAGTTGGTGCAAATCCACTTACCATGCTGCTTGCACTCATTATGGCCTGCAGCAGAATGAGCTCCCTGGGGGAACCAAGGTGATAAAGTGGAACATACCACTTCAAACTCCAAGCGGGGGCTTGCCATCCCCCCCCCCCAATATTCCCTATAACCAGTGCTTTTTTCTGGTGGGGCGCAGGGGTACGCATACCCCTAAACATTTTGTGAATCTCTGTACATTTACTGTATTTATTTTTCCTGATTTGAACTATAAAATGGTGATCTTCTTGAGGCAAAATGAGAGCACCCCTAAACATTTTTTAAAAAGTACTGCCTATAACCACAATTTAAAAAGCAACAACACCTGCCTGGAAGTTATTTTATTTTCTCAAAATCACCCCAGCATATCAGGCTGAAAATTCTCGATCTGCCTCTTGCTCTGCTGTGACAAGTTGTCTCCTCGTAGAGATTTTCTTCTAGAAAGACGTTCACAGAGGCCTTCCCTCCCGCGCGGGCGCAGTCCATTCTCCCACCTGCGGGGACTCATTCGGACGAGGCCTCGGGACCTCTCCCCAGTTCACAGGGGACCCAGCGGGCTTCGCTGCTCCTCACCTTTCCTCTCTCCTGCAAACGGCGGCCGGGGAGGCTGCCTTCCCTCTGTCTGCCGGCAGGCGTCCTTCCTTCCCTTCGGAGGCGAGAGGCCAGCCTCGCAAAAGCCGAGCAGCTGCAAGCGGGAGCTCTTGACATCACATGCAAGCTCCTCCTGCGCTCGACCTCCTCGCTCCCCCCTCCAACCTTAGCTCCCCTCTTTTCCCGCCCCTTCTACCCCCCACCCTCCAAAACAAAACATCTCCTCTGGCGTGAGGCGGCTGGGAAGCCCACAAGGCGAGGGGGGATGAGGGAGCTCCAGAGCCGGAGAGGCCGCCGGAGCAGCGCGCTGCCTCTCGGGGGCTTTTCCCTCAGCTGCGAAGAGGCCGGCTTCGCCCGCGTCTCTGGGGAGCGCAGCTGGCACTGAAAAGGACCCGCTTGGCCGGGCGCGCCAGCCAGCCAGCCAGTCGGCCGCCCGCCCGCTCTTCTTAAGCGGCTCGAGAGCGAGGAGGACGAGCCGACGGCAAGCGAGGCTGCGCCGCCGTCCGCTTTTGTTTCTTTCCCCCGCGCGCCCAGCAGAGGAGCTGGGAATGCCGAGCGGGTTGCAAAGGTGAGGGCGCGCCGCCTGCCTCCTCCGCCCGGGCTGGCGTGTCCCCGCGCGCCTTCTCCACGCGCGCGCGCGCGCCCCCCACATGCAGACACGCGCGCGGCGGCGGCGGCGGGGGGGCGAGCGGGAGCAGGAGGCGAAGATGGCAATGTCCGTGATCCAAGCGTGCCGCAGCCTGGCTCTCTCAACATGGCTGCTTTCCTTTTGTTTCGTGCATCTGCTGTGCCTGGATTTCACCGTGGCCGAGAAAGAGGAGTGGTACACGGCCTTCGTGAACATTACTTACCCGGATCCTGGTGGCGGCGGCGGCGGCGGCGGCGCTGGCGGGGAGTTGCGTAGCGAGAAGACCGAGTGCGGCCGCTACGGGGAACACTCGCCCAAGCACGACGTCTGGGGCCAGGTGGTGATGACCTCGGCGGCCGCCGACCGGCTGGCCTGCGACCCCAACGCCAGGTTCGCCGTGCCCGGGCCCGGCAAGATCTGGATCGCGCTCATCCCCAAGGGGAACTGCACTTACAAGGATAAGATCCGGCACGCCGCCGCGCAAAATGCCTCGGCCGTGGTCGTCTACAACGTGGGCTCCAGCAACGCCAACGAGACCATCACCATGCCCCCCGCAGGTGAGCGGGTGTTGGGGGGGGGAGGGTGCTGAGCCACAACCATCCCCCTCCCCCAAAAAAGTCCCACTGTTTGAGGATCTCCCTTCTGGACAGTTTAATCGCACCCCTCCTTGGACCATCGCACCCAACCAGCCTCCCAGGATGTTATTAATAGCCAAGCCAATGGCCGTGGCCGGGGTTAATAACATCCTGGGATCTGGGTGAAAAGCAGGCAGCGCTGTGTGCTTTGCCTAGCCATAAGATGAGTTTTTGGCTATTTCTCTCTCTCTCTCTCTTTGCCCCCCCCCCCTCTTCTTGAGCTGGGGGAAAAAGAGGGGAAGGCTAGTGGAGTGAGTGATGGGGCACATCTAAGAGCTGGCCTTTGAATAGCTTGAAGCTAAATGCCAAGGGATGCAAGGACAGCTTTTGAATGCAGGGGAGCAGGAAAGTAATAAGGGGAGGCAGGTCAGCTGTTTTGGGAAGGGTAGGGGGAGAAAGGTTGTAGCAGTCAAGGATCCAACCAGGTGGAAGACAAAAGGGAAGAGGACAGGTACAAGGCAGAAGGGAAACCCCAGAAAGGGGAAAACCTGCTGGAATGATGTGCATCTTGGCAATAGGGAATGGGAGGTTAGTGTGTCTGGTGCAGGGAAGGAAAGGGCAATGTGTGGCCCTCCAGATGTTGCTTAGACTTCCAACTCCTCTCAATCCCAGCCAGCATAGACTATGGTCAGGGATAATGGGAGCTGGAGTCCAACCACATCTGGAGGACATTCACATATCCTGCCATTTGATTTCACTCTGAGCCTTTTTCAGTGGCCATTCGAGATGTGCACATTACTTTCTGTGTTCCTTCAAATTCATTCATGCTACATTTGGGCTTGCGGGTGCAGCTCTTTGTAATGAATGGTTGAACTATGTTGATTAAACAGTGGGCTGATACAACAGCACCTTTCAATATGTCTGGGAAAGTTTGAAAGTTCTGGTGTTTTAAGCCACTTCCCGAATCCCAGGAGGTTTGTGATTTCTGTGTATAGTGCTGTTGCTGTAAGCCTTTTTCTGGCTTCTTTGCTGTCGCTTGCTCTGGCTGTGCAAGCACTGTGTCAAGAGAATGAGCTATTCAGGATGCCAGGAACACAATTAGGTTAATTACTATTAGAAGATTTTACTTGGAAAATGCAGTCTTAGTACAATATCTGCAATTCCTGTGACATGGATTACTGTCTAATTTCAGGTACTATACACACATGCAATGTTTAAATCCACTTTTAGGCTTCTTTGAATTCTGCTAAGGCTTCTTTGCAACACACAGAGTGTAGATGTTTATGTGATGGTGCTCTTGGATATATTCCAGTTTGTCATATGGAACAAAAATAAGTACAAAATATCAGTATGCAAGAACAGGCTGTATGATGAACATGTGCTCTTATTCATTATCAGCATTTGAAAATGTTGTGTTTTTAGAAAACACCAAGAGTTGTTGTTTGGGGACAGGGCCCTACATGGTCAAGAGCTACTTGCTTCTTATTCCAAAATACCACGCTATGGAGAATCAAAATGCCACTTTTGAATTTGGGTTGTACACATCTTGCAAATCAGCCTAGGTAAATATATTTCTTCTTTAGTAAGAACCACAAAGTTCAATGGGTCTTAGATTGGGGTTGCAGTTGTTCCTCCTTAGAGGGGAACCTAGAGGAAAGTTTGGTAGCAAAACATTAGCATTATTTTAACAGTAATTACTAAGTTGTAGACCCTGACAGGTAGGGAATATACCAGCCACAATATTTGGTTGGACCTTGAGTTGGCACTATGGAAACAGCCCAGTTTGGTCCAAAGGACTTCAGAGACTCTGTGATTCAGCTCAGGGTCTGAACCTTCTTCAGAAAAATAAGGCTTTGTTCTCACCTATGCACTGTTGAGAAATTTAAAAAATGTTCCAATGTTATTCCTTTTGAAAGAGATACATGATTTATGTGGGCATAATAGCCCCTCCAAAGTGAATAAAATTTGACAAATTACAGGCAAATCAATAGTGTTTTTTGTGGCAGGTGCCTTTTAAAGTTTAATCTTTTTTCTTTTTTTTTTAGAATAACATTTTATAGTTCTCATATTTTGCAGAAATGGATAAAATTTGCAGGCATGATAGTCCCTTCTAAGGGGATGGATCCTACCAAAGAAAGATAGCTATTGCAGATTCCTCATAAGGACAGCATTTGCAGTTTGAGGATGCTAAGAAAGAAAGAAAGAAAGAAAGAAAGATTTATTATGCTTATTGGTCACTAGTAGCATAGAAAGTTAGTAATGGGCAAAAAAAGCTGGGGCAGCACACAGACAATAGAACAATAAATTCAAAGAGATTCATTTTGTCTCTGCTAGTGTTTTGAGGGCGATTGATCTGAAAATAGCAGAAGTGCCCCTAGGTGTGAAACCTGCCAAATTACATACAAATGGGCCTAGGAGGTTTTGTGCTAGGTTCCTTTAAGTTGACAGTGTGTGTGTGTGTGTGTGTGTGTGTGTAGACTGAAGACTGAAAGGGATTCTTTTTCTTCCCTGTGGTTTTGTTTGTGGTAAAAAAATCAGCAGCATTAGAGAGGTGCTACTGGTTCTACTGCACATAGAGCTGCAAACAAAGTCTTTTGATTTGAGGAATAGGCTAATGTGGGCATTGGAAACTTGCTCTTTGTGGACCCATATACTTATCCCACCCGAAATCCTGTCGGTCATGGCACCCTCCCAGCTGTGCCAGTGTTGTTGTTTGCCAGATTGGGATGTGTCCAGCAGAGAGACAGTGAGGAAAACATCAAGTTGGTGGTGGGAACAAGGGTATGTGAATTTTGTGCACCACCAGTGCAGTCTTGCCCTGGCTCTCTCCATCCTTTACAGGTATGTGATGACAGCTCAGGTGGTATAGTGCCCTGGAATATTCTCCCTGCTTAGCTGCTTCCTACAAAGCAGGTAGGTTGTATATCTAGGTTCTGCTGTGAACACAAAGCAATCCCATATTCTCTGCTGTTTGCTCCCACTGCTAGTTCTGCCAGCCTGAGAGAGAGAGAGAACTTGCAGCTGTTGAATGTCATCACTATTTCTGGCTACAACAGAGAAGGTGCATTTCAGCTTAGTGGGTGGAGCCCTCAGAGAGCCATCTCTCCCGCTGCCCCCACCTCTTGCCCTGACCAGGCACAAGGTAGATGAGGACAACACACTTTGCTAAATGTGTGTGTTATTGTTGTGTGGTACTTTTCTGTTTAAGCAGTGAGTGTTTATTCACACAAAATAGTACTTCAGTAAAAGACCCTAGTGTGTATGTGGAAAAGAGGCACACAAAGACAGTAAGCGCTAAGTAATATTAATAACAATCATGGCTGATAAATGAAAATAATCACTTGGGACATGACCACACATGGGAGAAATAATATCATTAAAAACAAGAGGTTGGGTGATACAGTGGTACCTTGGGTTAAGTACTTAATTCGTTCCGGAGGTCCGTACTTAACCTGAAACTGTTCTTAACCTGAAGCACCACTTTAGCTAATGGGGCCTCCTGCTGCTGCTGTGCAGCCGGAGTATGATTTCTGTTCTCATCCTGAAGCAAAGTTCTTAGCCTGAAGCACTATTTCTGGGTTAGCGGAGTCTGTAACCTGAAGCGTATGTAACCTGAAGCGTATGTAACCCGAGGTACCACTGTAAACAAATTTTTAAAAAACTATTTGGATTGATTGAAAAATGTTACACAAAGTTGCGCAGAAACAAAGGCCTCCAAACTACAAGGCTAACTAAAACACTGCACTCTGTGACAGTAGGACGGTCCCCTGTTTCAGCACCAAACTTGAAGGGCAGGCTCATAGCCTTAGGAACCTGCAGTAGTTTCTCTCTGCTGCCACAACCCTTTTCTGTGTCACCTAATGCCAAGGGTGAGGGATTCCCACTGCCTTACGGTGATCTCCTTGAGTGTTGGAGAGCAGCCAGCTGACTTCAGAGACTTTTTGCAACTTCAGCCTGTCTCCTGTCTGCTCATCCAATCACTTTGACAACCCCTAGTGTAGCCCCAAGCAGCCTAAGCCACATGGTGGGAGGATAAACAGCCGCGAGTGTGCGCCAAAATCAGTACAGCCCAGAAATCCAATTAAGCAGTTTATTCAAATTGAGTACAGTGGTACCTCGGGTTAAGAACTTAATTCCTTCTGGAGGTCCGTTCTTACCTGAAATTATTCTTAACCTGAAGCACCACTTTAGCTAATGGGGCCTCCCTTTGCTGCCACGCCGCCGCTGCACGATTTCTGTTCTCATCCTGAAGCAAAGTTCTTAACCCGAGGTAATATTTCTGGGTTAGTGGAGTCTGTAACCTGAAGCGTCTGTAACCTGAAGCGTATGTAACCCGAGGTACCACTGTAGAAGTAAAAAAAAGGGGGCTGGAGGAGAAATAGCAGGTAGGAAGCTCAGAGTTGAAATAAAACACTGCACCAGACTAGTGGTCTTAAATAATCCTACACTTTATCCAAATGAACATTGTGGTCAACTCTGGCACTGGAAGTTTCAAGCATCAGTTGCCGGTTGGGGAAATCAAGAGGGACAACGTCTGTATGGCCAAGGCCCATTTTAAGGGCTCAGGACCCACAGTAGGCTTAAAGGCTAAAGTAGTTTCCAGCTAATCAGAGTTCAGGTGTGCCTGCCAGGGAATCAGTGTGTGTGTTGGGGAAATGGTAGACGCCTCCTGGAGGCACAGCAAGAGGGTTATTACACACACAGAAATTCTCCCAGGATTCATCTGTCTTTTTGCTAGGATTTAATTATAAATTTTGTGTGTTTAAGAAGGGATAGGCCTTATTCTCTAGGCAAAATGGTGAGCAAGGGACCAGACTGTTCACACGCGCTGCTCAGGAGAACAGGGACACTTGGAACATATAAAATCAGAATGGGATTAAAGGATCAAAAATGTTGGACAATGATTAGAAAAGGGTGCCTAAGGGAGGGATGCCTCCAAACTTCATCAAAACTCTTTCTGATGTATTTTGCTCTGTAGAACAGAACAGCAAAAGATCAAGAAGTAATAGTGTGAAAGTGCATATTCCTTCAGCATCTCTCCCTCCAGAGCACTAGAATTGGAGAGTGCAGGTGCCTTGTGGAAAGGATGCTGCTTGCACGCTTGGCCTGTTGGTCATGAATGAGCTATCCCTTCCCATTCAAGATCCTGGCATTTTCTTAAGCTAGAGGCATAAGTTTGATTTTGCAAAGCTGTACCTTTTCTTCACCTGTGTTTTCCTTTTATGGAAAGCTTAGATACATAGTTTCACATTTTGCTGACCCTTGTCTGTAGCATGGTTGGGCTGTTTCTTTCGTTTTTTTGCATCTGAGTCACTAAGGTGCCACAAGGTGATTCGCAATACAGTATCTCCTCTAACTCAGAGCACCTGGCTTGTGCGGATACTGCTACACATTGGAGAAGCCAAGAATCTCTCCGAGGTATCCGGATTCAGCACAAGATTTGTCTGTAGCTGCAGCTTATCCCTACTAGGCCTCATGAAACTTAATAGGACATTCCAAGTAAATGTGCATATGTACTGGGGTATTAAAGGCACGCAGTAAGGAAATCAGAACTTCCTACAGAAATACTGGGATGCAACAGCTACTGTACAGGCTACCTGAGACTTTGGGTGATTAGGACTTCCGGATATATTTTATTTGGAGAATAGTTGTGTGTTTTAGCTGAGGTGTTATTTTCAAATAAAATATTGCATTCGCGCAATATGTATTCAATAGTGGCCAGTGTGGAGGGACAGAGCCACCTTCCCAGCACTGGCATTGCTGCAGGATACCTGGCTAGTGCTGCAGTGAGGCAGGGTGCTGGAGAGTTTGGGGTTGTGTGGATGCACTGACAGAGTGACTTGGGTAGCAGGTGGGTGATCCTGACTGGGACTGTAGCATCCTTGGAGGGGGGGTGTTAACCTCTCCCCCCCCCACTTTGTGGTACAGTCCCAAGAAAAATGTTTTCCTGAAGCTGCTTGAAGGAGCCTGCCTAATATCAATGAGCAGGGAGTTCCACAGTGTAGGTGATGCCACACTGAAGGAGTGACTCCTTGCAACTGCAGAAACAACATCATGCGAAACTTGTAGAAATGCCAGTTGTGCAGATTGAAGTGGCTGAATGTGCATATATGGCAGGCTTCCTCGACCTCGGCCCGCCAGATGTTTTTGGCCTACAACTCCCATGATCCCTAGCTGGCAGGACCAGTGGTCAGGGATGATGGGGATTGTAGTCTCAAAACATCTGGAGGGCTGAGGTTGAGGAAGCCTGATATATGGGGTAATGGGATTCTTCGGGTAAACTGGTCCCAGGCTGTTAAGGGTAACACCATGAATATGGTCACTCCAGGACAGAAGCTGACATTGACATTGGTGCCTTTCATGTGTTTTCCTGATTGGCTACTTATGCTGGAACTGAAACTATCTACTGTACTTAGACCATGCCTTGATTAACCTACGGTCCTCTCTGTGCTGTTGGATTCTAGCTCCCATCATCCCTGACCATTGGCCATGCTAGCTGGAGTTGATGGGAGCTGGAGTTCAACAATATCTGGAGGACCACAGGTTAACTGCAGATCCTCCAAGGATCAAACAAACAAACTACCCTTGCTCTTGACAAAGTGTGAAGAAGCTTTTTGTCAGCTTCACCTTGATAGCAGTCTCAGCTAAAGTCCCAAGGCAAAGTCTGAAGGCTCACTGCTGACTACCAGCCATAAACTGGTTTAATGCAGGCACATCCCAGAGAAGTGCTAAATGCCTCAGCTCTGATTTTTCTAAAATAGCAGTTTATACCTATTTGTGTAAACCTGAATTCCTTTCCCAGCAAACATGGTCAGCATTTTCTACCATTCCTAGCATTGCCTCCTTTTGATGCTTGCTGCGACGACTCCCCTCATAGCTACTAGGTCTTGACATAATGTATTCCACATTTGTTTTTCATGTGGAATGCATTACAATGGAATGCTTCTCCACATTTTCTCCCCCTCCTTCCATTTCCATGGATGCTTGTGCAGGCAAAAACATTTATGCATTCATGGAAAACTTATAGTCAATTTGAATATTAAGGGACGGGTCAGAGAGCCTATTGCCCTGGACAGGAGAAACGAAGGGTTGTATCCAACAGAGCAATCCCTCAGTATAAGGGTCTTCTACTTTCACAGTGGAATTTCTTCCCCTGCTCCCCTTTTGTACCTCCCACTCCCCACAAATCTGCTCTGGAGGGTTTATAGAAAATCCCAAGCAGATGGGGGGGGGGGGCACAGGGAGAGGAAAGGGAGAGGAAGTCCCATTGCACAGGCAGAAGTCCTTCTGCTAATGGGACAACTTCATTTGATGTAACCCTGAGAGCTTCAATGGACACTGTGTGTGTATCCAGTCATAGTGTTGGGTGTAGGGAAAGGCCACACATTCTCAAAAGGGCAAGCTTTGTGCCCTAAATTTCAAAAAGTGGTCTAGGCCATTACAAATGAATAGGGCCAAAATAATGAATGAGCTGTTCTCATGGCCCCAATCCTAACCCAAGTACCCAGAACCAGACTTTTCTAATTTTTTTTTTTTAATCAAGCATAGCAGTCATGGTTTGGGAGGTTTCTGGGTGTTTTTGTGGGGGCTGTTGTTAGCCAGAATCTTTGGAAGTTTTAAGAAGGTAGAAAAATTACTTTTTCCAGCTGAGAGAGAGAGTGTGTGTGTATGCATGTATGTGCTGACTAAATCGGAAAAGTTATACATTTCAGCCTTTGTTTTTATGATTCATACATTTGTCAAATGGGTAAGAGGGAACTGTGGCATGGCATGGCATGGCATGGCAACTGTGGCTTTGGTGCAGAATGCCAGAAGTAGAGCTATAAAAAGTTATGGAGAGGGGAAATGAAGGCATGCAAAACCAAAAAGGAAGTTTGTTGCTCAAAGGAGGACACGTTGGTTCTCGCTTTTCTCAAAATTTCTGTGTATTCATTCTCATAAACCATTTTATTTTAGTGAACTGGTTGTTCTAGGTTTGGTGTTTTTGTTTCAGCTTTGCACTTGAAGCCAACTCAACTCCACGTTATATGAGGCCATAGAACAAAAGAGACATTGGTCTCTCAGTTTCATGTTGCTTGCACCATCCCTCTCTTTGTGGCAGGGGAAGGTTTTCTTACCTGGTTTCCACCTCCTGTTTGTGTTTATACCTATGACATGTGTCTTCAGCAAGTATTCCTGTGCTGTTTGAGAAAGGTGTAGGGGAGCTACCTAGGACTCCTTAACACAGCCTCAGATCAGATATGGTAACCCACTGAATTTCATAGCCTGGAGGAAAAGAAACCTAACTGGAGTTCTCTCAATAATCGCAAGTGAATAGGAAAGATTCGGATCCCACCCCTGAAGTGGGGCCAGTGCTTTTAAAGGCTAAATATTGGCCGTCTTTCCTGACATTAAACAGTCTGGCTGGTACTAGGGAGAGTTTATTGGATTTGGCACAAATGAGAGATGCTAATTTAGCATCCCTTTTTGCATATTCATAATATAAATAACTATACATAATTAATATTCATGTTATACATGTAAATTATGGCACATAAATCTGTACAGGTGAGAGATGGCAGCTCTCCCAAGTGCCCATTACTTCAGTAAAAGCTATCACACTTTTAAAACTTGAAATGCACTTGTTCTACATAAGGATGCTCTGATAAGATATCTATGATATTTTTACACATCCAAAAAAGGGTTCCTGTGATTGTGAAAATCACGAGGAAGGAATGTTGTGCTATATATTCATTAAATTGACTGCAGTATGCTAAGAGGAAAGTCTTCTGTTCTAGGTTTTGAAAATTCCTGAGTGTAGGTGAAATAATATGATCAGTTTTTACAGGGAAGATTACCATGGAGTTGTTTTTTGTTTTTGTTTTTGTTACATTTTGCCTTTCCCCCAAGATGCTCAAGGTGGGGTTCATATCCCCCCCCTCCATTTTATCTGAGGAACAATAACCATAGTTGTTTGAGAAATGTTATTTTAGTTTTTTGGGGGAAAGGGTTTCATGTAGCTGTATCTTGATTTCACAATCTGTGGGTTTATTTTTAGAGCACTTTCCTTTTTTTAAAAAATGCATGCAGTAACTCTCAGTCTACCTGAATTTGTACATTTAGTAGGAACGTAGAATCACAGGTGATAGGGTTGCGTAGGATTTCCAGAATCTTAAACACCCAACTTCTCCTACTGACTGAATTGAAACTCTCTTATGCCAGATGTTCCCCCAAGCTTTCTTTAAAAACCAAGGTAGAGGAAGTTTATAGATTTTCCAACCCTAATAGAAGGGTCTTTTTAAAGTTCATATTTTTAGGAAAAAAGAAATGAAATGCATTAAACCCCACAAAAAGGCTAAGTAAAGTTTATAGAGGTTTTAATTCCTACTTCACTTATTTCTGTGGTAACTTTTGCAGCCCACAAAGTATGGCACCACAACTGCAGTCAGCATAAACCACAGTCTCTGTTTTTGTTTTGTTTTTGGCCTGTAAACAACTTATATATAATTTTGTACATCTGCAGGTTGGGAGGACTTAATGCCATATGCACGAATCCAACTGCAGCATAGATACTTTGATTTCAGATGCAAATATACATATATATATAAATGTATTTTGGAGGACTATATGCAATAACTCAATAAACTGCCTTATACCAGGTCAGGTTCATTTAGCCCAGTGCTAATTGATTGGCAGTGGTAGTGTCTTTCCAGGATCTCAGGTAGATCACATCACCTACTCCTTAATTCTTTGGTAACTGGAAATGCCAGGGATCAAACATGAGGGCTCTGAGCATGCACTCTGTCTCTGAGCTAGGGCCTGTTCCCATGCAAACTGAGCTTTGCAATACCATTTTATTTTATTTTTGAACTTCAAGGTTGGATGTTATCCCAGACTAGCCAGAAGCAAGGCCCCATCTGCACTGTACATTTAAAGAGCAGTGTCCTACTTTAAACAATCGTGGCTTCCCTCCCAATAATCCTAGGATCTGTTGTGTGTCAATGGTGCTAAGAGTTGTTAGGAGGATCCCTGCCTCCATTTACCTCATAGAGCCACAATACACTCAAGAGTCCCTTTGTGAAGAGGGATTGACTGTTAAACCACTGTGGGAAATACCAATATACAACATGTAGCATAAATTACTATCTTGAACCAAGTCATACTCTTAATGTTACACAAAACATTGAACATCTTGGTAAAAGAACATCTGTGTAATCTGTTACTTGGATTTTCACAATATGGTCCATGTTATTAAAGACTCGGTTATTAATATATTTCTACTGAAAGTCATATGCCAGCCTTCCCAAACCTGATGCCATCTAGGTGGGGTTGGGCTCTAATTCTCATCAGCTCCAGCCAGCATGGCCAGTGATCAGGGACCATGGGAGTTGTAGTCTAATACTTCTGGAGGGTACCAGGTTGAGAAAGGCTGGGATATAGCCTAGCTTCATCTGGCTAGCATAGTCTTAAGCAATGTAATAGTGGGAGGTGAGAAACCACAGTAGGCACTTTCTACTTTGGTATAGTGGTATGCAAATATTCTTATAAATAAACAATAGATTTAAATATACATCATATGCAGCTAAAACTAGGGACGGTGCCCTATGCTGTAGTAATATACAATGTGTATCCCATTTTCTCAAGCTGCTGTCATCTTAATCCTTTGACATGGAATTAGCGATTTGCACCCTGCAAATGTGGCAACAATATAGACTTTATATATTAGAGTCAGCCATGTGAAGCAGGTACAACTACACAATTGTAGTGCTTAAATCTGAAGTCAAATTGAGTGCTGGAGCAAGCAGAAGTAGAAAAATGCTCAGTAGTGATAGGACTGTATTTGGATCCTAAATATTGTTTTCCAATGCATCCATGGACTGTATCTACTTTTTATTTGACTGTTGCACATTTCTAGCTTGTAAACCTTACCTGCTTGCAATCAAACCAGAAGACACTTCCTCACATTTCTTTGAATAACATCATGAAAGACTATATTCTGGTTGTCTCAGCAGCAAACATTGGTATTTGTAGGGCTGATTCACATAATTGTTTCAAAATCTGTTTCCCAAGCATTGTTTGATGGCATTTTTAGACTGAAATAGTTCTTGATCTCCATGGAAACAGCCGTTGATATCAGGTATCTCAGATTAACATGTCCTCTGACAGTATATTAACATGTACTATGAACCCTACGCTCCATTTTGGAATACATGGATATCAGATGCTGACATACAAGTGCATTAGGGGTTCATTGTTGCTTGTTCTAGCCCTGGTGTTTAAGCATCAATATGATACCTACTAATTAGGCTATTACAATATCGTGGCAGAGCATCCTGTCATTGTTGTGTTAACACAGTTGCCTCTCGTTGACTCATGCATGCGAAGCACCATGACAACTCTTGCGATGTGTTTCATTTAGCACCTGGAATGCTTTCAGAAGATAAAGAGAAAATGTGGCTTCTTAAAAGCTGGTGAGGGAAAGAAGTGCAGGTGTTGATCAGGGGCTCATATGATCTGCCTCTACCCCCAGCCCCGCCTCTGCCTGCCTCTTACACCTGGAGCCAGATGAAGGGACACTCCCATCATTGTGAAAGAGTAGCTCAAATGCCTTCTTCACATTCCAGTACCTCTTGCATGGTCATGCTGCACAAAGACAGTATTCAGTCCTGATAAGGTGCTTTTCTGCCCTTTTCATCTACATTGGATTGCTGATTATCTGGCTGCTGAAGGACACAATACATTCATTGATTTATTGAAATAAGATATGTAAAAGGACCATGAATTCGTGTAACCTCATCTCTTTGTTAACTGAGTATAGTCCATGCACGATAGGTCTGGGTGGTTTTGTACTACTGCAAAGCATATATGTTACCAAAAAGGGTAGCTAGCATGAGGAAGCACTGGCTGCCAAAACAGGTGAAGGATAAGTGGAATACTGGGTCCCTGAAAGCAATGGGAGAACTCTGAGGCATGTTGCGTATTTTTAAAAGAAGTCTGCATCTCCCCAAAGCTACCCAGAATGGTCAATAGCCAAAGGCTGCATGTTCATACTGCCAAGTGGTTGTTGAAGGGAACTGAACAGTCTGTTCCTTGTTGCCCCTCAACCTTATAGGGTGCACACCATTCAATATTTGTCCTCCTAGCCCAGTCACCATTCCCACTGCATCTAACTACTTAAAGGATCATGGATGGAGAGGGTCAGTGTCAGAAGACACACATCCTCAAGCATCAGTCCTCCAAGGCTAACCCTCCTCTGGCAAAGACATTTTCCCTTTTGGGTGAATGGATGCTGGGAAGGACCTGTCTCTCTGGTGCCTTTTGGAAGACATTGGGACTTTGAAAAGCAGTATGGTTTGGTGGTGGCTTTAAAAACCAAGAACTGGCACGGTTGTTTTGAAAACAGAACGTATCTGTGATTGTTCCAAGATCTTAAAAAGGTTACTTTAAGATGGGAAATAAAGATGTGCCTGAAAATACCATGATTACCTTAATGGAATTGTAGGTATATGCATAGCAAGAGGAATGTAATTTCTTACATACTACGGCTTTTCAAAAATTGCCTTGTCATCATATAAGTTGCCTTGTAATTATTATATTTAAAGCATTTTTCCTGTTCATCGTGAATGTTTTATTTACGCCATTTGTAAATGAACCCAATGCATTAATTGCCAGATTTAACTAAATTTGGGGTTCATTTGGCGTCTTAACACAGCTCATGTGACATTGGTTAAGTATAGGTGAATATGCTTTTTGCAAATGATGGTTTTTCCCGCTCATCTTTCTACTGCAGTCCCTGGGCATCGCTCAAAAGCCTGTCCTGGAGGTTGAGGGGGGCCTTGTGAGTGGGATTCAGTGTGGTGCAGGAAGACACTTCTGGAAGGAGAAATTGGGAGTCTTTCTCCCCCACTCCCCATGTGCATGCTGAAATTCTTTAGATACTGAATACTATAGATACAATGCTGATAAAATGTTGGCTGAAAAGTGGCACTTTACAGTTTATACTATAGGATATAACAATACATTTTGAGAAATAAACTGGTTTGATAGCAAGTTACATTATATACGTTATATATTCTGAACAATTTACCGTATTTTTCCATGTATAAGACAATGTTTTTTGCTGACTTTTTTTCGGTCAAAAATTGGGGGTCGTCTTATACATGGAATGTGAATTCCATATACATGGCTGCTTGTCAGTCCATTTCTTAAAACACTTCTGCCAGATCTCACCATCATAAAACAATAAGTCAATCTCACTCTTTTGAAAAAGAAAAACAATCTGTTTCACTGTTTTAAGTTAGATTCCTGGAAAAACAGGTCAGTCCTGAGATTTTTAAAAGAACATTTTCAAAATAACTGCAGTTTAATCTTTAGACCGTTTCATTGTGGCTTTTCTCCAGCAATGCTGATCCTGGTTAATCACCAGAGAAATTAATGCTTGATCATCAATGAACAAATATTAAACACAAAAATCTATAAAGAAAAGAATTCATAAGCCAAAAACAAATAAACCCATCATAAAAAAAGATTGTTCAACACTGTTTGTTGAATCATATTAAAAACATATTAAAAACAACCCATTAATCTATTCTTCCCCCTCCTACCCTGCCATCATCTAAAAGCAAAGATGAAGAAACTGATCATTAGGTGTTATAAAGCCATTTAATTAAGAAAAGCTTTGTTATAAACGTTTAACTTCAGTGGATATATCTCTGCTTTCGTTAGCACAAAAATGTCGCATCAAAACACATTTTGTACCAGAAAAAGCCAAAAAAACCACCCAAGTACAAAGATAGATCAGTTAGAAGACAATATGCAAGTCAAACTGATAATTTCCAAAGTGTTAAATAATTGGCCCATAGAAGTAGCACATTAGTACTGTCTTACTGAGATTATTCTTCGCTTTGTGTTCCTGTGGGGTTAATACAGGCAACCCCCAATTTATGTGGAGATTATGTTCCAAGGCACTGCACATTTAAGTGAAATCACATATATTTGAAACACCGTTGAAAAAGCCTGCAAAAACCCCATTCCATCCCCTTTTGTGACATTTTTGAGTCACTTCTGGGATGCACACACGAGCAGTTGCACGTATATGGGGCACCTAACATGGAAGTGGCCTGCAATAAATATGTGACCCAGTGATAGGGTTGCCATATTCCCAAAAGTGAAAACTGGGACAAAGTTGTTTGGCTTTTTTGGGGGGGGGGATTTATCTCCCCCCCCCCCCAGGTTTTTGGACTTTTCTTTTCCCAGACATTTTGCTGATTCAGTGATAATCTGCCCAGATGCCATTTTGCTGCCCAATTCCTGGACGTGTCTGGGAAAACTCAGACGTAGGGCAGCCCTACTGAAATGTACTCGGAGTCAAGAGTGGATTTCATGCTCTTTATTCAGCTCATAGTGGTGAGGAGGAGTGGAAGTTCCCCCAGAATGTCTGCCTTATATACATTATTTACACAATGGGCCCCACGTGATTGGCTAATTCCAGGATTCTCCTGTAGGCCAATCAGGTTGCGGATTCACTTCCACCTGGAGCTGGATTGGGTGGCTCCTGTGGACCAATCAGACTGCTGCATTCTGAATCCTATTGTTCTAGGACCAATCAGATTGCTGCATTCTGAATCCTATTCAGCTCAGTACATAACACCTACCCAGTCATTTTTCTGCAGTATATGGCTTCGATAACACTTCAGTCTCTACTGTACTGTGTCTGCCTCCAAATTCTGCAGTGAATTTTGACCCTATGACATCCTGATGACTTTGTGTTTGTGGGTGTTTTCAAACAATGAGTCATAAAATACTTTTCAGCTTTTTGTTTTTTAATTGAAATCAATTTGTCAGGCCGTTATAGAGAAGCTCTCTTCCTTAGCTTCTGCCTTTCATTGTTATTCCGCTCAATAGCTAAGTAATTAAAGAATCCCCCGTGATCAAAGTTCTGTTTTACAGGCTTCACTTATCTGGAACCGCATTTTTCCTAATCTCTTGTTGCAGCTTTATAGATGGAGGTCTGTAGTGGCATCGGGGGGGGGGGGGGAGCCTGCTGTTGCTGTGTTAACTAAGCCACAGTTGCATCTGCAGCTTTGTGTCTGTCTGTAAATGTAGCCAGTGGCACTGCCCGCATTCAGGAGACCTTGGGCAAAATGCCCTCTTTTGGCTCCCCCATTGTCACACCACTTTCTCTCCTGTCACCCCATCCTGGGGGAAGATCGAGTCACTTTTCCATTCACTCTTCAGAAAGAAAAAAGGACTGATCCTCGCATCCTCTGCAGCCTTCTTACCACTCAGTGGTGAAGAGACTTGTTCCATTTCCCTTGTAATAGAAGTGGTTAGTGGGCTCAATCATCTCCTCCCACTCCTGTTACATCCTTCTCATTTTCTTCCTTAAGTACCGGCTTTGGGAGTAGTTCCCGTGGTCCAGGGTACACACACTGTTGGGTACACACACTAGAGACTCTGGGAAATTAAAGACAGTGGGTGCAACTACAGTGGTACCTTGGGTTAAGTACATAATTTGTTCCGGAGGTCCGTTCTTAACCTGAAACTGTTCTTAACCTGAAGTACCACTTTAGCCAATGGGGCCTCCCGCTGCTGCCGTGCCGCCAGAGCACGATTTCTGTTCTCTTTTTCTATATATATTATATTTTTATTAGTTTTCAAATACAAAAACAAATTTATACATTCCATACATCTTAATTACATCTTACTTCTCTTTTTTGACTTCCCTCAATTTGTCTGCCATTCCTTCCTATTGTTACTTTTTACACATTTCTGCCCTTTTTTTTATATATATATATATATATATTATCTGTTTCTGTTCTCATCCTGAAGCAAAGTTCTTAACCTGAGGTAGTATTTCTGGGTTAGCGGAGTCTGTAACCTGAAGCGTATGTAACCTGAAGCGTACCGTATTTTTGTCCCATAGGACGCACCTAATTTTTTTTGGGGGGGGGGAATAAAGGGAATTTTTTTCCCCTTTATTTTCCCCCCAAAACCAGGTCGGGGAACAGCGGGATGGCGGCGCCTCCCCGCTGTCCCCCGAGCTTGTGGGGCTGGCCGATGTCTGCCCGGCGGGCGGGGCGCTCTGCTTCAGGGCATCCCGCGCACCGGGCAGCAGGCTGCTATCCCCACGCTGCGGATGTCTGCCCGGCGCGTGGGGAGCTCTGCTTCAGGGCACCCTGCGCGCCGGGTGGCAGGCTGCTATCCGCAGCCTAGGGAGCCCTGCGGGAACTTCCGCGGGCTCCCCAGGCTTGCTGATAGCTTCCTGAAGCCTGGAGAGCGGGAGGGGTCGGTGCGCACCAACCCCTCTCACTCTCCAAGCTTCAGCGAAAGCCTGTATTCGCCCCATAGGACGCACACAGATTTCCCCTTCATTTTTGGAGGGGAAAAAGTGCGTCCTATAGGGCGAAAAATACGGTATGTAACCTGAGGTACTACTGTACTTGCTTTGATTGCATCACCCATAATAAAGTTTCTTAAAAATAAGAGAGAGGAGGATGCTGGAGGTTGTTTCCTTTTCTTGGGCAATTGTTCAGGGGGCCCCAGATCCGTGGGGCACTGGACGTGAGTCCTATGGCATAAGGAAATCAGCTTCTCCACACTATTCCCCCTTTGCTTCATCTTATTTGAATCCCTCCAGAGTATTTTAGAGTAGAGTATTTTATCTACTGTGGTGTTATACTTTTGAAAAACTTATTGTCTTTTATTTCCCTCCTATTACTATCAAGCATCTTTAGATAAACCCAGATACAGTGGTACCTCGAGTTACATATGCTTCAGGTTAAATACGCTTCAGGTTACAGACTTCGCTAACCCAGGAATAGTACCTCAGCTTAAGAACTTTGCTTCAGGATGAGAACAGAAATCGTGCTCCAGTGGCGCGGCTGCAGCAGGCGGCCCCATTAGCTAAAGTCGTGCTTCAGGTTAAGAACAGTTTCAGGTTAAGAACGGACCTTCAGAACGAATTAAGTTCTTAACCAGAGGTACCACTATACTAATCATTGGCATCTTCCCACGCACCATAAAGCACACTTAAAACACGTGACTGGGATCTCTGGTTTCCCCTTCACAGAGCTCCCGTTCCCAGCACCCTTAACAAACTACAGTTCCTAGGATTCTTGGGCAGGGGGAATCCTGTGCTGTAAATGTATGTTGAGTTCGTAGTCTGGTTGCTGAGGTGGGATATAGTTGTCTTGATCTAGTGGCTGTCATGTATCCCTTCATAACTCTGCAATGATTATTCTACCGTTTGTTGTGCTGCCTGAGCTTCCATTTTTGCTTCCATTCACTTGTTCAGAGAGTCTGTCCACTGGTGAACATTCCTAGCTGTTGCCCAGCATATCAATTTTCACGTTCCTCTTGCCATTTAGCAGTGCCCAAAGTGCTGATGGAGCGATGCTCTTTCATTTTACATCCAGAGCTGGATTATATCCAGAGGGAACAGTTGATAGCAGCAAAAGGAATTCTCATTACTGAGATTAAAGGTAATTTTGCAAAGAAAGAAAAAAGTCAGTTCTTTTGCTGTGGGATTCCTAATAGGTCCTCTTAGAAATAATTTTTCTTTGTGCCTTTCCATGACTCATCTTTTAAATTTTAGCAGTAAGTGCTTTCAACTCTCTGCTAAATTCTACTAATTTTTCATCTGGGAAAAGCAGGACATACCTGTTTTGGAAAGCCAAGTGCTATGGTGATGCTGATCCAGTCACTTTCTTCACATTTATTAGACATGGTTGTGTAATACAGACAAGGTACTTATTGCAACTTGCCACCTTGAGTGATGGCCATACTGGACGGTAAGGGCCAGTTAGAAAGCTTTGGCCAACCTTGTCAACATAGTCATTAGTGAATCTTTATTAGAGAAGTTTCTGCCAGATGGGGATGCTGGTACACTCAAGATTTGGTTTTGTCACCCGCTATATGAAGTCACTGGGAGAGACTTGTTAACAAGAGTTCGTGCACTGATGACACTCAGCTCTGTGGTTTGTTTTGTCCCCATCCAACCCTTGTGAGGCAGTTCTGTCCTTGAATACACGTCTGCAATAAGTGATGGATTGGATGAGAGTGAATAGATGTAATCTCAATCCAGGTAAAACATCATTGATGATAGTGGGATACTTGACTAATCCCTGACTGTGGTATTCTTAGGGGCACTTATAACTACATTACACACATCTGATTTAGGTTAAAAAGGCTATTAAAAAACCAGTCCCAACACTCTTATGCCAGAGCCTATACTTGCTCTAGATAATTTTCTCCTGTAAGGAAGAGACAAATAGCTTGAAGGTGTGGCTGGACCCAGTATTGTTCCTGTATTCCCAGGTGGCAGCTGTATAAACTACCTTTATCAGCTATGCCTACTGTTGGAATATAGACTTCAGATCTGCCATTCATGATTTGGTGGTATGCAGATAAGTGTGATGACTTTGAAGAAGGAACAGAAATGCAGCTGAAGCTAATTGAAGTGCCCCACTTGTTAACAAGTGTAGACTGATACCAGTTTTGAAGCCACCTGAATTGGTTGCCACCATATTTCTGGGCCCAGTTGTTCAGAGTGTTCACTCTTCCCTGTAAAACAGTGATGAGGAACCTGTGGGCCTTCAGATGTTGTTGGGTTTCCAACTCCCATCAACCCCAGTTAACATGGCTAATGTACATGGATGATAGGAGTTACAGCCCTCCAACATATGGAGAGATGTAGGTTCTCCATTTTGACTTTAAAAACCCAAGAACCTTGGATCCTGACCATCTCAGGGAGCATCTTCACCCTTATATCCCACCCTCCCAAACTATGATTCTTAAGATGTTTTGATGAGGTCCTGCTCTGGGTTTCATTTTCTGGGGCAGCAGTATTCACCACCACGAAGAGCAAGGTCTCTTCCATTACAGCCCTGTTGCTGTGCGTGTCAAAATAGGTTCATACAGCATCCTCTCTGTTGGCCTTTTGAAAGCAGGTAAAAGGTTTCCGTTTTAGACTGCCTTTGAAAATTGACTTTTAAAAAACTGGCCTCACCCTATATTGTGTGTTGCTGGGCTGTTTTCCTGTCTTTGGGGCATAATATTTTTTAGTTTGTTTTTACTGTGTGACTAGTCATATTTGTGGCTGGATTTCAACCCTGTGACTGTTATTTTCTATTAATAGCAGTGTAGAGGCAGTCCTTTATTGGAATAAGTCCTCTGCTTGAAAGGACTTTCCAGTCCAGTCTGGCTTAATGATAATGAATTATTAGGAGAGAGAATAGAGTCTTGGAAGTTTGCTTGTTTAACTTAAAATATATATTTTTAACCACCCTTCATCAAAAGGTTCCAGGATGGTGCAGCAAAATGAACAGTCACATAGGTCACCTGGTCATGGTCTTCCCCACTACTGTATTGTTCTATTGAAATTATACTATTTCTAAATATGCACCTCTGCATACACATGCAAACTGGATATGAAAGTTGGTGTTCTCTTTTATCCTCATTTTTGCTGATGTGTAAATGACCACTCTACTTCTGAGTAGTCTTCTATTGGATTGTGTGTCTTGCTTCTTGTGTAACTGGAATCTGTATGTGTGGTTGTTTAAGCCTCAAACCCATTGGAAACAAGATGACTGTCCAAAGGCTTAACTGGTTTTTGACATAAAAAAGCAAGCTCTGTATTTTTTTTATGTCTGGTGCTGTTCCCACCTTGAGTTCTACTCACACTGTTCTTAGATAGCAGCCACTGTCCATGAAGCCTGTTTCAACCAAAATGACTTTGGTATGTTTGACTTCAAAAGGGAATGCATATCAGGAATCGTCTTCCTACCTCGCCCTAGCCAACATGCATGCTGAAACATCATTTCGAAACTGTGTAGCCAGATTTCCAGATAGCATAGTATATCTTTCAAGGAGAATGTTCCTGGGTAGACATTTAAAGAGACAACTGTAAAAATAATTGTCAGCAAACCAATGATCACTAAATGCATAAGTGGATTTCTGTGATGATGTGTGGAGAGGACTGACATAGCTGCAGCAGGGAGGGAGAGAAGTGGTTAATGGGGGTAAGAGACACTGCAAACCTCTTTGGTGTCTAGGATGTCTGTATTGCCCCTGGCAGGGAAGTGGGTGGCGCTGTAATCTGAACCGCTGAACCTCTTGGACTTGCTGATCTGAAGGTCTACGGTTCGAATCCGCATGACGGGGTGAGCTCCTGTTGCTCTGTCCAAGCTTCTGCCAAAAAGCATGTCCCAGCTTCTATTCAAAACCATACCAGTGCAAGTAGATAAATAGGTACCACTGTGGCAGGAAGATAAACAGCGTTTCCATGTGCTTTGGCACTTGTCATGGTTCTCCATGCACCAGTAGCAGTTTAGTCATGCTGGCCATATGACCCAGAAAGCTGTCTGTGGACAAACACCGGCTCCCTTATCCTGAAGCGAGATGAGCGATGCACCTCATAGTCACCTTTGACTGGACTTAACCATCCAGGGGTTCTTTACCTTTCTACCTTACTGCCCCTGGCAATAATTAATTGGAGCCAGGGCTCATTGGTAAATTATATGTTGTATATTTAGCATGCTAGTGTACCTATTGTCTAACAGCACAGTGTGATATACCGTATTGGCCTGAATATAAGCTGCACTTTCCCCCCAAAGTGTGAAAAGTTGAAGTGCGGCTTATATTTGCAATCTTATGGTACCGCTGCTGAAACGCTGCCCAGGAGGGCAATCAGGAGTGTGGGACAACGGTGCACCACCCTCCCACGACTCCCAAGCCTCCCCGAGCTGTCAAAATGAAGGGGGAAGGTGGGGAAGCCGCCTGCAAAGTGGTCAGCTCCCCACCCCCCCAGGAAGCAGCCTGGGAGTGCAATGGCACGCAGCCCACCCTCCGCTCCCAAGCTCCCCCGGCGCCGCCTTGGCGAGTGGAGCCCCGAGCGCCAGCGCCAGCTGCCCCCCTTTCAGGGTGGTAGAACCAGGAGGCAGGCCACACCTGCAAATAAGCCTTGAATTTTAAAAGTGCGGCTTATTAGTGGGTGCATGTTATATTTGGGCCAATACGGTAATAGCCATTGAGTTCAATGGATCTTATTCCCATGTAAGTGGGTATAAGATTGCAAGCTAAAAGGACTTATTTTTTTTGTAATTGAGCAAGAAGCTTTTCCAATACCATTATCACTGGTGCTTATCATTTTATGGACCAATGAATTTATTGTAACTGCTATTATGGCAAGATGATTTTATGATATTGTGAACTTGCTACTCTTTTTTGTTTTGCGTGGCTATAACGCTTTCTCTCAGGAGAAAAAATAATCAGTGTTCGTTGTATGAAAAGTATGGCACATATGATTATCATACTATGATTTACTGGCCTGTTAAATATTCAAGGGTAAAGAAACAACTGTCTGTGCTTTTATAGTTCTATTTTTGTAACAAGTGTGAGGAACAACACGGCCACCTCCTAGCACCGCTTAATGGTTTTGATCTGAAACGAAGACAACAAAATCTCTCGTATAGCAAAGTTTTTGTGTTCCACAGAGATTCCTAATGGGGAAGGGCCATAGGACAGTGGGTAGAATACACAAAAAGTGGTCCAAGGTTCAATCCCCAGAATCTCCTTGATAGGACTGGGAATGTCTCCTGTTTGAAACCCTGAAGAGCCACTGGCTGTGCTAAGCTAGATGGCCTAAGGGTCTGACTTCATAGAAGTTTGTTGCCTCAGAGTTAACAGAGATGCAGTTTGCACCTAAAGTCTTGTTAAAGGAAGGCACCAAAATACCTTTGCTAGTGCAAGCCTGCAGTGAGACCAAGGTGTTGAGGAAGCCCTAGACCCAAGAACAGCTGCAAACCATCCTTCAAATAAGATCTTACAAAATGTCAACCAGGTGTTAGTTGAGTGCTCCGGAAAGGAGATACTGTGCCATATTTGAGGAGAGATCAGATAGCAATATATAGCTTCTGCTCTGTTCCTCGCCACAAAGAGGAGTCCCAGGAAAACCTGTTGTCCTCCAGATGTTTTTAGACTCGCAACTCCCATTAGCCCCAGCCAGCATGGCCAATGATCAGGATGATAGAAATTGCATTCCAGCAGCATCTGGAGGGAAGCAGGTTCCCGATTCCTGACTAAATGGGAACTGCCTGGGAAGGGACTACATGAGAGGATGTAGACTACAGTGAAAGCTTGGGATCTAACTGCAAAAATCTTTGGACTGGGGAACAAAGCAGGCAGTGACTGCAGATAACATCCAGCAGAGAATCTGCTAGCCATATGTGAGATTCCGAAGGCCCGATGAAAGCAGAAACTTGGGATACTAAATCTAATGTGTATGCATGTAAGGATCATGTCTGTTCTGAATGCATATGATCCTAAGACTACTGGAATGAATTCTTATGGTTTAGTTGCTGTCATTCTTCTCCACTGAACATTCAGCATCGTAAGCCTGTCCTGCTGTGCTGACTGATGTACATTTTGATAGTTGTACAGAAGACAGAGATAGGAAAGCCAGATGTCTTTTAAAAACTAATTGGACACTAGCTATATTCAAAGCTTTGCCTACTCATGCAGACCTTCCTTCAGTATCATGTTCCAATGTATGTGCTGAGGATGTACAAATGGCAACTAACTAACTAACCAGAACGACAAGAGATATCCCTGAATATACACTATAAACATATGGCACAAGAAGTCAAGATAAAAAGTTGTAAATAATATGGTGTGGTGTCTACCTTTATAGAAAGTAAACCTAATGGCTATAATGCTAAAAATGCATTTGTAACGCTTATACAAAACATATGAAAGGAGTTAAATCTGACTTTATCATGAATATGAAAAGTAGAAACCAGCATACAAAAATATCTGCAAGTGTAGGAAGCGCAACCATGCACAGCACCAAACAGTTCAGTAAATTCAGATGGAATATATTAAAAACATTACAATCAGTAAGATATAATCCATATTTTTGGTGAAGTTCTGTGATCGCCTGGAATGCTAGATGCATTTTGGCATGGTCACCCTTCCTCAGTGACATTTATTTATGTATAGAAGTTCCTTATGCATCAGTTCTGAACACCAAAAATAGTTGACAAAGTAATAATAATAAACAATTTAACCATATGGCTGTAATTCCTGATATTGAGCTCACCAGAGTCTTAAGACATCTCTTGCTAATGTTTTGGTAAATAGTTGATATCTCCAGTCTGCAAGAATTTGCAACATTAAGAACAATTTATTTAAAAATGTATTAAAATGTAACTCAAAGTAATTATATAATCATACTGAAAAATGTAAACACATCAATATTCAAATATGGAAATGGTATGGAACAATCAGTGTAAGAACTATGAGAAGGAATAGGTTGGAAAATGTCTTTGATGATCTGAAGATTCCACAGCATTCAGATAGTCTTAATTTTAAATGGTGCCATAGGCCTTTGAGAAGAAAAACATGATTTTTAAGCTGTTTTGTGGCACTGTGTGGAATTTGGTAGAAGAAACATAATTTTACTGAAATTCTTTCTGCATAATAGCTGGCAATAGAATGCATTGCATATACACAGGCATCAAACATTACAGGTTGGATAATAACCATGTCCCTTCTCAAAGAGACTCATGCTCCTCTGCAACAAAGCAGTGTTTGAGGAACCTCTTCGTGCAATGATGAGTCAATGAATGAACATTTATTTTAGGAACTGCCAAACTTAATACCTAAATCAACCATGTTTATGGGGATTCAGTCTTTCTGCTGTTGAATAGCAATTTTTATTTTATTTCTAGGTCCTGGATGATATTTTTAGTAACCCACACACCTCTCCCCCTTCCCCACCCCCACCCCATGTTTTAAAGACCCAATGCACTGTCCAAAGAGAAAATTCAGCGCTTTGTAGGGTACAGTGTTGGCATGCTGAAAAGTATGCCTTTCAGAGCCATATCTATCTGAAGGAAAGTTGAGTTCAGATCATTTAGAGATCATGCTGCAGTCAGCAGCCTTAATGCTTTATTTGCGCAGTCTTTGGAGTCCTGCTCCAAGAACCGTTGTGCAAACAACAGAGATAGCACTACAGCAGTCTTGCAAATAAAGCCACATAATTTGTTAGCCCACAAAAATCTTTGCTAGCTACACGTGCCTGTCGTACAGCACAATTCCATGTATGTTGACAGAAGATTAAGCCCCACTGAGTTTGAAGGAGCTTCCTGTAAAGAAAATGTACATAGGATTTCAGCCTGCATCAAGTAGCCAAAGGTTGAAAACCATCAAGTTCTTTAAAGCATTTTGGCCATGTTTTCCTGGCCTGGGTATAAATCCGTGCTTGCCGCTTGCAGCATTCCTCACTAGGATGCTTTTATGTTTCTTTCTCTGTCTCCCGTTTATAACGTGTATCCATGTCTGTCCATGCTTTTAAACAAGCAACTTTGCCACATTTTTGTATAATAACCTCTCTCTCTACCCCGCTCCCCTGCATATTTAGCCTTCAGATCTTCGGCAATGCTATCCTACACAGGTTCTGTTGAGATCAGCAGAGCCTATCCCTGGGTGCACGTTTATAAGATTGCGGCCTTACGCTCAGATCCTGCAAATATATATGACAATATGTATTCCAGGTGCAGCAGGGCAAAACTGAAGCATGGGTCTCAGCAGTGCATCGGTGCAAGCTCTGCCTAACACCATTGCTCTACTTCAGTGAGGGTGGTCTTAGCCAGCACAAATACCAATGCCAGTAATGATATCCTGAGCTTGTCTAACATACCAGGGTAGTGGCTCATGGGATCACAAAGTATTAAACATCTCTTCTCATTGTGTACTGAAATTACACATTGCAGTGCCATAGGAAATAGACTTAGGAAAATGAATTGTTTGGGCAGGATAATAGACAACATATGGCCAAAATCCTTTTTCTGCCCCTGCTGTTTGAAATCCTCTGAACTATTGTTTAATCTTATTGAGGACATGGGTGGAAATCCAAACATATCAGTATGCCACAGCAGACTCCTTGTTAAAATTAGTAGCTCAAGCAAAAACAAAACAAGTTGAATAATTTCATTAGTGCCATGAGTGATGTCAGCCATAAATTAAAACTGACAGGCCATAATAGCAGTATACTGACGAGGGCTGGAAACCTTCACTGCCAAGTATTTGATTGGCTGTCATTTCCCTCTGTTACAATGCTTTGAGTTCTCCTGCAAAATAGCCTGAACTCATAATTAACAGATATTTAAATGAGGCAGTGGAGCATACGCTAGATGGCCTTGATTTAGACAGCTTCACTAATCTGGAACTCCATTCAGAGAGTAGCTGCTTGTTTAAAGATACTATCTCAATGGCTTGTGCTCTTGTTCCTTGTTCTTTGAAATCAAGGCAAAGATGTTTCTGATATCATCAAGGTAATAATTAGTTGTGGCATGTACTAAGGAGTAATATTTTCTCCATCTTAATTCTATTGAGATCTGTTTTAGGATATCACAACTGTGCTGCAGTATTTATGTTAATTAGTAGCCCCATGCTAAAAAGTCATGTGGTACTATGAACATTTCAAGATCGGAGATATTGCTCTTGTCCTCACCTGAAATAAAATTTCTTTTGCAGATTTGCAAAGTAATTTTAGGGACACCAATTTACTTCGCTTTGTGCTAGCAGTGGCATCCAGGCCAACTTCCAAGGCAGCCCCAACTTGTAGGAAATATTGCTGAATCTGCTAGTGTTAGCTAATTGTTGAGCCAAGGGTGATTTGACGTTTGCTTAGTTCAAATAATATCTCTAGCCTAAGCCATGAAGACAAATTACAAAATCAGGCAAGTTTAGTAAATATTAGGATTTAATTAGAACTTGTATGTTATTACTGGATTATAAGACAGTCTCAATGTGCATTAGAAAAGGGGTTTAATTAGTGTTCGTGTGTAAAGGCTGTGTGTCAGACTTTGAGAATGTAACCAAGATCCACATGTATTTGAAAGTGTGTACAGTTGTACCTTGGTTTTTGAACACAATGTGTTCCAGAAGTCCGTTCGACTTCCGAAACATTCAGAAACCAAGGTGCAGCTTCCGATTGGCTTCCGATTGCACAGGCGCACAGGAAACAATAGCGGAAGCTGCATTGGACGTTTGGCCCCAGCTAGAATGGCTAGTGGTCATGGGTGATAGGACTTGCAATCCAGCAACATCTGGAGGGTTGTAGGTTGCCCATTCCTGGTTTATGGCTTACTGTGTCATGAAAACATTGACCATTATTTTATTTAGCTACATTTACAGTGTGGATATTTGTACATGTAACTTGATTCCGTAACTTGGTCCAAAGGTGACAGACATCTTTTCTGTGTGGTGTAGTGGTTAAGAGCGGTAGATTCGTAATCTGGGGAACCGGGTTTGTGTCTCCGCTCTTCCACATGCAGCTGCTGGGTGACCTTGGGCTAGTCACACTTCTTTGAAGTCTCTCAGCCCCACTAACCTCACAGAGTGTTTGTTGTGGAGGAGGAAGGGAAAGTAGAATGTTAGCCGCTTTGAGACTCCTTCAGGTAGTGATAAAGCGGGATATCAAATCCAAACTCTTCTTCTTCTTTTCCTTTGAGCCAGAAGCCTCAGCCTTTGATCCATGTCTAACAGTAGATCAGTTCTTCTTAGATGCAGCATATCTCTTATTGATTTAGACAAAGTTTGTAAAATATAGATGGACATCATAAGCAGCATACTTAATTTACCTTTGGCGGATGACTGCCAGCTTGTGTTTGTGTTTTTCACAAATATGAGCATCTCTTCATGGCAAGCATATATTGTACAAGTACAGTGCACTGTTTTGCAGTTATTCAGCAGACTACGCCTTTTAGTGTGCTTTGGTGTAGAAAGGTAGAGAAAAAATACATCCATAATTAAACCACCATTTCCTGGTTCAGTTGAAAGAGAAACTGTGGTTTAAACTAACGCTAACAGAATCCTCAAAGCCCACATGCAAGGGATGATGGGAGAGCACTGTTCCTTTTCATCATAATTTATTTCTTATAAAAATGCCTAGACTGCTGAACATTTAAAAAAAGAATTAAGAGGTATACAGTAAAACATAGGACAAAATGCAGCATAATATAAAAGGATGCTGCTGGTTTACTGGTTTTATACCAACAGAGGTGCAAAAATCTCAAACCCTTGGAGACCGGAAATACCTGAGCAAAAACATTTTTAGGAAGCGCCTAAAACAAATAATTAATGGTGCCTTCCCAATTAAAAAGGGGGAAGGATATTTCAGGCTGCGGGTTCAACAACTGCTTCTAGGTGAGGGTCCCAGCTCTAACCTAACCCTAACTTAGGGTCCTGTTCTCTGCTGAACGTACACAGAAAACCCTGTTTGGTAGGATAACACTGGTTAAAATGAGAATGAATAAGAGGTCAGCTGCTGAGAAAGAGGGCATGTGTTGCAGAAGGGAAGCTGGAAAGGGTGGAAGGGCATAGTAAGAGTGTGAACTAATTCTTTCTTTTAGGTTATCTTTCATGTTACAGCCTGAACGTTCAGGGTGCAGAACATCAATTCCATATGGCAATGCTCCATACAGCAGCCAAACCATGAGGAAAATATTCTTGTGTGGAATACGACAATATGGAAACAATTTTTAGAAGTCTGCTGGTGTGGGGGGGCAGTGGGGGCCCCATAGTGGCTATTCACTCCTACAAATGAATGCTGCTTCAGAACAACGTGTCTAACAGCTATCCTAACCTCCAGATATTGAGGCTGGAGAGGATTAGAATTGAGTGGAAGTGTCTCTCTGCCAGCAGAGAAGCACTGTACTAAGAGGAGGAGCAAATCCAATGTGGAGGCTCCTGCTAAGTCTATGGAAAGTTCTACAGGTGTAGATCACCACCCGTAGTGATCTTGCCAGCAGTAGTAACCACTGTTAGCCCCCTAAATATGGTATTCTGTGTACATTTAGCAGAGGACAGGACCAAGGTGACCTTGTTTCTAAAGCACCCCAGGATTAGACCTTCTTTTCGCCAGCCTAGAATGGTCATATATTTTTTAAAAAATAAGAACTGCCAGGGGAGAAAGTTGCGTTTATAAGAGGTGCATTGACCCCAATAGATTGAGTATGTCCCCAACTCAGAAAGTACTGGTATATTATGTCTTGGTCACTTTTTTAAAACATAGAGTTGGCATCTAGGCATAAACTATACCAGATTTTTAAAGGTGGTGAGGAGGGCTGGTAAATTCTTCTCTGCCATAATAGGAAAATATTTTGCTTTGTGAGATGAAACATTGAAAAAGGAACTATATTTTAGGCTTTAGTAAGGCTAATCGAGGGTGCTTTGCTTCATTTTCTCCTACATTTCCCTTGATTTGGCAAAAGCAAAGCAAGAGAATCGTGCAGCCCGTGTGTTTGGCATCTGTACTACATAAACATACAATCTATTTTTGGCGCTCTCTTGATCATCTGCATTGAAGAAACATGAAAATACTTTAGATGGAATTTGGCTCTTGCTGTATATCCCTGTTCGGGAGAGAGGGAAGAAATGCCCTTTTCTATTTAAGTTGCAGTTGTATTTCCAATGATGTTGGATTTTTTAGAAGTTTAAATACTGTTACTCACATTGGTTAATCTTAAAGTTATTTCTCAGTTCCTTGTACAAATGTAGGATCCATTCATCAAGTTGCTGAGAATCCAGAAAAAAGTTCACATTTTTAAATTGAAGATTATTTACATAAACAAAATTGTCCTTAGTCCATTTTGTGACACAAAATCCTAATGCAAGAATATTACATTACTTGTCCCATCCGAAAAATAAATAAAAAATAGTAATAATTTTGATGTCATCATGCTGAAGGTTTCTGAATCTTACCTAAGGACTTTGCCCTTTGCTCTTCACATTTACTCTACAGTGGTACCTCGGGTTAAGTACTTAATTCATTCCGGAGGTCCGTTCTTAACCTGAAACTGTTCTTAACCTGAAGCACCACTTTAGCTAATGGGGCCTCCCGCTGCCGCCGCGCCGCTGGAGCACAATTTCTGTTCTTATCCTGAAGCAAAGTTCTTAACCCGAGGTACTATTTCTGGGTTAGCGGAGTCTGTAACCTGAAGCGGATGTAACCTGAGGTACCACTGTATTACAAATATTTGACATTATATAAGTTTATGAGATTGGTTTTACTGAGGATGCCTTATCCTTGTTCCAGATTAATTTATTGAAGATTAGGCTGAAATAATGTAAAATAAAAATTGCTAAATCCATAGGTTAGGCTATGCAACTTCCTCAAATCCTTTCCTTGGTATCCCTTCTCCTCCTGTTTCCAGTATGCACTCCTCCAAAAAGTGACTAACTACTATGGTAAATGGATTGCCGTTTGGCAAATGGTATATGCTGTCTTGGTATGTAGTATGTAGTACAAATTGCGGAGCTGCTTCCCCCTCCAAACCGGGTATGCACAAACAAGAAGGTGGGAAGAAATCTGTCATAAATGTAGCTAGAGCTATAAGACAATATTTCACAAAGACAGGAATCTAAAATAACAGTGGTGGGTGATGGACAGCCTTCCACCAAGCCAGCCCACTGGTCCATCTTGCTCATTACTGTCTATGCTGCCTTGCAACTGTTCCCCATGTTTTCAGACTGGGAAAGTTCTGGAGATACCAGGGACTGCACACAGGACCTTCTGCCTTCAAACCAGATGCTCTACCGCTTAGCTGTGGTCCTTTCCTAAAAATAGCAACCAACTGGAATCAGTTGTGAAAACTTCAAAGACGTATTAAAAACAAAGAGGTATTAAAAGCAAAAAATGAAGACGTTGAAAGGGTTGTCGGCAGGTTAAAAAGTATTGAGTTCAGTTCCTTTTTGTTCATTGCTGTGGTTTATAATTGGATTATTTATTATCTCAGTTCTTCTGGTGTTAGAAGAAAAGGGAGTTCTGCAAATACTGCTGTTTGTAGCATTCATTTGCAGAAGCTTCTTCTTCTTCTTCATGAATTTCATCCACAAAATGCTCTGTATTTGCATCTGGACACTCCCACCAACCTCGCTGGGGTAGGTATTGCCATGGCTAGAGACAGTGTTTGGTGGTGTAAAGATTGTGCCACCAAAGCTTTATTGAACAGTAGATTTAGTGGTGATTCAGTAGATCAGTTTTGCTTGCTCATCCAACAGAACTGATCAATTTGTCATCATTTCAGATAGAGAAGTTTTCCTGCAGGTCATATTAGCTGGTGACGCTGTCTGATAAGGGAGTGGAGGAATGATGTGCACCAGCAATTGCATCTGTTATGTCTTCTTTAGCTGACACAAGAGTGAGTCAACTGGAGCTAGTATTTACTCAGCTGTTTGTCCTGCCCTTGTCCCAAGGAGGTGCCCACCAGGAGCAAGACAAGCTGCATGTCACAGTACCAAGGAGAGCAGCTGGTGTGAGCAACTTTGTCCAAGGAGAACTAGTGGTGAACTGAGGCCTTTTGAACTGAGATCTCCTATCTGCCTCTGTCCCCTTTTTTGGCTAACTGCAGATTTTTACAGAACTAATTCTCTGCTTGAAGATGAATGCTCACTAAATGGCCTTCTGCCTAGTGGAATGCCTGCATCATTGGATTTGCAAAATAGAATGTGGGAGGCACTCACTTTCTCAGGCCCAAGGAAACCCACCTATGAAAGTCCTTGCTCTGGTTCTGTGGCTCCAGGTATTGTGGGGTCTGGTTAAACAGTTTCTTGACAGGCAAGCCGGGGTTCAATGCCCTGATATCAGGGCTCAGAGCCAGGAATGTAGACTACCTCCTCAGCTGGTGCCATTGTAGTGTCTAAATTGGTCTCTAAATCTGGTTACTGCTGGACTCTGAGGTCATAACACTATGAGTGCTACAGCTTCTTCCTGACTGTGATGCAATGTTGTCAAGATTGTGATAGCTGATTTCTAATTGTAGGAGTTGTTCAGTCATAGAACTTACTTGCGATGGTGTACCTAGTTGTCTTTTTACCTCTTTTACCTCTGAGTCTATGCTGAACAAGACTGTACTCCCTAATCGTTAAATTTGCTACCCTATAAATGAACCTGCTTTGATTGTGGCTTGTGATCATTAGTATTGAGAGGTATTTCAAGTTCATTCACATAAAGGGATGGTGCTTGAATAAAAGTGAAGTCAAAAGTAGGTTAACTATGCCATGAAAAGACAAAATTAGATTTTAATAAATCCTATTGTAATCTATTGTTCTCCTTTTCAGGAAAAGCCACCTGGGTAATTAGGCTTTTGTAGGAGAGGGAATGCTGCAGTAAGTCGCTCCACCCTTAGAAGCAATTGTCACAATTTGCCACAATAACACAATAATGGGGGCACAGAGTGTTTCTAGAGGAGAAAGAGTGGAAGATGGATGTTTTAATTTCTCTAGCACCCAGTGTGCATACTCTCTACCTCAACACTTTGCTCTCAGCCAGGCTTATTTCCTGGTTTTTAGCCTAATTGTGTGTGTGCTTATAAATAAACTATTAAAACCACTTAAGCAGTATTTTGATGGCTGAATTGATGGGCAGGAGGAGGGTTAAACACACCCTCACATCCCATTAACATTAGGGAAGAAACATTGGGTTGGGAAATTCTCCCCAATCTAACATGCCATTCTGCCCTTTAAGTACAGGCATTGTAATTTTTTTTGTACAAGCTGGAAAAGGTTTGTGTACTTTTTTCTTCCTTTATTGCTCTAATACACCATTTCTTCTATATAGTTTTTATTTTTTAATGTGTGAATAATATGATATAGTACAAGCAGGAGAGGGTAAGGGGAATGTGGCTTGTCAGGATTTTTTTAAAAACGATGCTTTTAAAGGAGTCTTGTATTTCTATCTAATGCTGGAGAATGAGCTGAGGGTGTCCGGTGAAATAGCAAACAATAGCATTCCATTAATACCACGCTCTGAAATGCTCTATCTAATGTGGTAGCACATTCAGCCTTCCTGACACATCACACTTGTCAGATTTTAATAGGATGGAAGGGGTTCTCATTTGGGATGAACAAGAACTCCAATTACATTCTGCTTCCATTCCAATTACAGTAGTCTGGGTGAGTGTGTGAGATGTCAATTAAGTGTGCCCCATTAAAATGAGTCTGCTTTGCACTGCCTAGTGTCATTGTGTGGATTTCAATGTCACACTACAGTTTAAGGCCTTTTGTGCAGCACTGGGTCAGAGTACATTGATTCGAGCTACTTAGCTAGTATGGAGAGGGACACACCTTTGTGACCCAGAACTCACTCTTCCTGAACATAATAGTCACAGAGTCATTTTATTCTTTATACATTTTGTACTTTCATATTGTCAGAGATTGGTTTTCTCAATTTATATTTTATTTCAGTCTGATACATTAACAGGGTTTAGATTTTAATTCTTATTTCCAGCCCCCAATCCCCTACTCCTCCCATGGCACACTTGTAAAGACATAAATGTCTTGCCTTAACTGGGGATCCTGTTGCAGTCATAAAGCTGTTCTGTGGGCCCTTTGTAGTATTATTGCAAAGGTGACCTTCTGCCCTTCTAAGCTATGACAAGTTCTATTTTCAGGAGCGCAAGTGTTTGACACCAGAATGTGCATAGCCCATCTGAACAACAACAAACAACTTGAATTGAGACAAAACTGAACACTATAATTTCATGATGGTGGCAGATTTGTTCAAAACCACAATCTGTTGAGTTTGGTTTTTGTGTTTTGTTTTATTTTAAAAAAAGCTTTAGAGAAGGAAAACCCTGCACTGAAAGAGGAAGTAGCATTTCAGGAGATGCTCGAGCTTTAATTCCAGATTAAGCTTTGCTGTCGGAATGCCAGTGCACTCACTTCCTAACCATAAAAAGATCCCAGCTCCTCACTTTAGTTGATTGCTGGAATGGAAAGGCAAGCTTGCCATAGGGGGGAGAGAATAAAGTGCTAGAGATTAGAGCAATTTGAACTGATAGCGAATGAAGACATGCATTTGCGTCAGATTAATTCCCATTCTTAAGAGATTAAAGTGTGTCCATGTGGGAAGGTCTCTCTCTCTCTCTCTCTCTCTCTCACACACACACACACACACACACTTTTGAATACTGTATATATTACTTCTAGGGTTTTAAAGTCAAGCTGTCTTTTAAAGTCAAGAAGTGGATTCTTCTTCCACCATCATTGGTTGTGCTCTACTGACATTGTCCTTTTTCTGCCAAGCAAAGTAGACGACATTAGAAGCGATGGACATTTTGAAGCAGGGAATTACGGTAATCTCTGAGCAGAGCAAGATTCCAGGAGTTCCAGGCGCTTACCCAGGGTTTGCGTTTCCTTTGGAATTAGGGACAGAGGAGACTGTCATGTCTCTGTAATACATGGTTTATTTACCTATGACGGAGGGGTTCACAGCATTAACTCCCCAAGAGGGTCTTGCTTCACTCAGAGCCACAGCCTTGGATTCCAACAGAAATCAGACATGGCTCTGTCTCCCAGCTGCCCAGCCTGCAGCCTGCCAGCTTCTACCTTGTAGCTCACATGACACTCAACTCTGACTTTTGTATTAAGGGGGGGGCACTCATTTGCTATCTGGCACACAGCCACTAGCTTTGTTACCTTAATGACCCATACTTAGAAGGGGGTATTACCAATAAACTTGTCTGGCTATTTCAACAATTTGAACCCTTGCTTACCGTATTTTTCGTCCCATAGGACGCTCCGTCCCATAGGACGCACCTACTTTTTTGGTGGGGAAATAAAGGAAAAATTTTTTCCCTTTATTTCCCCCCCCCCAAACCAGGTTGGGGAACAGTGGGATGGCGGCGCTGCGCCTCCCCGCTGTCCCCCGAGCTTGTGGGGCTGGCCGATGTCTGCCCGGCACGAGGGGCGCTCTGCTTCAGGGCGCTCCACGCGCCGGGCGGCAGGCTGCGGACACCTGCACAAAGCACGGGGCGTCCTCCGGAGGGCGCCCCGTGCTCCGCGCTGCAGGCTGCCGCTTGCAAGCCTTGCGCGCCCGGGGGAACGCCCGGGCCCGCAAGGCTTGCGGGTAGCTTCGTGGAGCCGGGAGAGCGAGAGGTGTTGGTGCGCACCGACGCCTCTCGCTCTCCAGGCTTCAGCGAAAGCCTGCATTCGCCCCATAGGACGCACACACATTTCCTCTTCATTTCTGGAGGGGAAAAAGTGCGTCCTATAGGGCGAAAAATACGGTATATTTTAACACTTGCTGGATCGAGGAATTAGAAGCATCTCAGACATACAGTGGTACCTCGGGTTAAGTATTTAATTCGTTCCGGAGGTCTGTACTTAACCTGAAACTGTTCTTAACCTGAAGCACCACTTTAGCTAATGGGGCCTCCTGCTGCCGACGCGCCGACGGAGCCCGATTTCTGTTCTTATCCTGAAGCAAAGTTCTTAACCTGAAGCACTATTTCTAGGTTAGCGGAGTGTGTAACCTGAAGCGTATGTAACCTGAAGCGTATGTAACCCAAGGTACCACTGTACAGCCTACCCGCCCCCCGGCATACTCATAGCACTATGTTCCACCCCAGACCCTAAATTATGCCCTTTTGTTTCATGCATTCTTTAATTTAAAAATACTTCATCCCTCATAGCATCCTTAAAAGACTTTTCATTCTAAACTTCCAGTGTCCTAGGGCACAAATAGTCATTCCAAGCAAGGATCACCAGCATTTTGATGGCTTTTGGTAGTCCCCAGCGTTAACCACCTCATGTAGCAAAGACACCTACTGACACCCCTGGAGAACTGCTGTCTGTCAGAATAGATGGACTCAATAGACCCGATAGTCATCCCTCATTGTAAGAATGCCATAGTGAAGATGAAAACCTGGTCCTTTATGGGAGTGTGACCTCACCAAAACAGATTGAATATCACCTTCCCAGTCAGAGAAACCACCTCCCAGCAGAACCTCCATCTTGTCTAGACTGAGCTCCGGTTTATTGTCCACTGATTCTAGACATTTTTTCAGCTCTCTCCCCACTCCCACCCCGCCACTGCAGTCCCTCTTTTCTTTGCTGGCTTATGCCTGTTCTCAGGATCCAGTTAGTGTTTATTCTGTAGTCTCTTGAAGTTATGAATACAGTTCTCGCACACTCTTTAATGCAGATAAGAGCATAAAAGGTTGCAATCTGGACAGCTGCCGCCCCCAATGGTTTCTGCACGTGCACTTTGACTTGTGTTTCTAGCATAAGCTCTTCATGTTGCAGCAGAAGCCACTTCAAAACTCCCTTGAATTTCAAAAGCGTCTATCAAGTGGCATGTTGACCTGCTTCTAGGGTGAGAGACTTGAACACAATTCTTGGTGTATGCAGATTTTACTTTACAACTTTATGGATCATATGCCAGGGTTTAACTGTATTTTCTTCAGACTCATAACTTAGAAATGCAATAAATGTGCTCATGATTAACAGAGGTCCCCCCACCATTTTTCATTAAAGTAGGAATTCTGGACTTGTTAGCTCAGTTCTGACAACAAATAAGGATAATTTATCCATTACCTGAGCTCTTCTTGAAGCTAAAATATTGACTCATTAACAATAGTTTTGACATAGCATTGCCAATTAGAAAGGAAGGAATCTGGCTATTTAATGTGGGATCGTTTAAAACTAATGCTATATCAAGGGAAAGTAGCTAGTACCATTCAGACATTCAGTTCAACTGCTGCATTTTGCACCAGCTCCAGCTTCTGGACCAGCCTCAAGGGCAGCCCTGCATTGGGTGCATTACAGTAAACCTGCCACCTAAAAGATGGGATGAAAATCCTCATAATAATTATTATTATTTTAGAACCAGCATAAATGAAAGAACCTCAAGAATTACTCTAATTGCTGTGATGTGGTAGTGGTTCCTTTTGTGGTTCTGCTCTGAAGTTCTACACAGAACATAATTCACCTGAGTGTTTCTGAAACAGGTACACAGATGAAGAGGCAACACAGGAATTGGATGTCACTCACTGAGTTGTGTCACTCACTAAACTGGAAAAGTCTCACTATCTGTAAAGCAGGCACATCTGTGCACCTAAGAAGGCTGTATGGCTTCTTAATATGGCAATCCATTTGGACAGAGGTCTTCTCAGCTCTTTGAGAAATGCCTATAACTGTATCCAAGCAATTTTGAAGCTGAAATGGCCCTCTTTTCACAACAATCTAAAAACATTTACAAGCAATTGCCCTTACTTTTAGTTGACTCTGCTATATTTGTTCACAATATATTCTAAACTGTTCCACATGAGAAAAGAACTTTGAAAAGTTGTAAGATATCCAAAAGTGAGCATTCCATCTTATTTGTTCTTTAACTGTGCTCTGCATTTTCTGGTAACCCTTTTTTAAAAAAAATAGAGAGGCAAACAAATCTACGAACAGAGAATCAAGGAATTGTTATACTCAGGAGATACCTCTATATATGCACAGAAAGGGAGTGGAGAGTAAATATGGCAAAAGTAGAAGAAGCTGACTGCACGTCGGTACGATAATTCTATAATTGATGTGTATGTGTATGAGAAAAGCTTCTGCTACTACACTTTAATTGCCTTTGCTAATGAGGACTCCTGGGTGGATCTAAATCTTAAGGGGTTTGCCAAAACTCTGTTTTGTGTTTGTTTATATACTGGTAAGATTCAAAATGCCCATAGCTGTTCAGAAGTAAATGAAAATAAAAGTTAAAATACTGGAATGGAGTAAGGATTGTTGGTCTTTAGCTTTGGAAGTTTGTGGAAGTAGCGGCAAACTTTTTTTTTTAAAAAAAAACACAACAGTTCTACATGCAGAAGATTAAGAAGGCTGAAAAATCCCATGCATCTAAAACAATGATAGTTTTTAAAAAGTTATTTACTTAGGCATCACTGCACATGGGGAATTCACTTTTGGCACCTAGAAGTTATTGTTTTTTTCCATCATTGAAAATTAGGATCAACTTGTACATTTGCAACAGGGGATGTACATGAAGTTATGCCAGCCACTGCAGCGTCCTAAACCCTGTGCATCCCTCCACTTATGTGGGGGTTACATTCTAAGCCCTAAGTGCATAAATAAAAACCACGTAAGTCGGGAGCACCCTCTAAAAAGCCTATAAATGCCAATCACCCCCCCACACACACACACTCTCCCTCTCCACACAACTTTCTCTTCAACTAGGGTTGAAGTTCTGGGGCCAGCTGGAACCTGGAAGACATGCAGAAAAGCAGCTGCACTACCCTGCACATCAGCTGTTAGGCGGGGAGGCTCAGCAGCTTAAACAAAGCCCGTTGCTCCTCTGGTCTCTTCCAGGTTTCCTCTGCCCTCACTGACATCCTCTTCGAACTCTGAGGAGGGCCTCCTCGCGAACCACAAGGACTCTCTCCTGCCATTTCCTGGTTTGAATCTGTTTATTTATTTCCCAGCACTGCGTGTATATGCAGTCGAGCATGAGTGGGGGGACACCTGTACTTCCCAGAGCTGCTTACTTGGAGGCACCATCTATGATGGGGCACTGCTACAGAACAGCTTCTCTAGGTAGCTCAGCATAACGCAGTAAGATTAGTGCCAAAGGGATGGTGGCTTCCTTTGGGTATCCCCCCCTCCTCCACAGTTTTCTAGTCTGAATTTGTGCTTCAGAATTGCAGCCAAACAATAAGCCTTTAGCCCTTTTGGTGATCAGGATGATCTTGCAGCCAGCTACATTGTTTCCAAGACAGTTGTGCCAGTTTCCTCTCTGAGAATAGCTATTTGTTGAAATGTTTGGATTTAAAGTAAGATGACCCAGCAAAAAGTCTAGCAGTTCACATGGCACAAACTCCTTGTTGTTATTACACACACTTTCTCTTTTTGTAAACAGCTTTGAGGTTTGTTTGTTTGTTTGTTTGTTTGTTTGTTTGAATCAAGCATTATATTAACAACAACAAGAACAACAACGTCTCTTCACTCCCTTTGTCAAGGATGAGGATGGGAAACTTGTGGTCACCCAGATGTTGTTGGACTCCCAACAGACCCAGTCAGCTTGGTTTGTTATCAGGGATGATTGGAGTTGGAATCCAACAACACATAGGTAGAGGGCCACAGGCTTCACATCCCTGTTCTAAGATTTTCAATTTGAGGTGCAATTCCTCCACTGCAGCCAAAATTTGAACTTTCTGTTGCTTGTCCATCATTTTTATCCTTCAGACTCCGATTTCAAATGACTATCTAAGCAGCATATATATCCTGAAGTATATTCTGGCACTTGTATAGTTTCAGTGTCTGTATCTTCAGGGAATATTTTTAAAAAGGTATATATATTAAAAACTGTGAGCTAGCCACATTTGTATAAATATACAGAATTGGTGTCTCAGAATAAGTATGTTTATGAAGTGCATGATATTTTTAATGATATTTGAGAATGTTCTAAATCAACAATAATCAGTGTTACCAAATGTGGAATTATTGGTTGGTAATTCTAAAATGGTTGCTTCAGAGCAAACGGGACATACAGTGCTCTTTCTTAGAACAACAGGTGGCTGTATCAAGCTTCGAATTTTCATTTAAATCTGTTTTCTTTTCAAATGTAACCCTGTCATATGGCTGATCCATTTTGTAATCTTTCATCATTCATTAAAGGCTTTCATGCGAATTATGGGATGGCTAGATAGGATAATTAGATTGGTTGTTCAGATTCACTTGTAACTGAGAGAGGCAGCAATTATACCGCTACCAGCGGACAAGCTTGTTTAATAACACAGGTATTGTGATGATTGATAGATTAACATTTTCATGGTTTATTCAACAAAGCCAGTGTCTTAGTGCTACAGTAAGGAATATATTCATTCCTGAACATAATACGACTTCTAGTTAGCTGAGGAGATCTGTTCATATTGAAATGTAAAATAATTAGCTTTCATTATAAGAATATTGCACACCAAAATGCCTGTAAGTGGTTCCTCATTTCATACGTATGGAACACTGCATCTATTCTGTAGATTTAACTGTAATTGGCCTTTATTTGCCATTAAGATGGGCTTAGAATTATTGAAGACACCCACACTTATCAAAGTATATGCCTTTTCTAATAAGAAACATGTTAATTACAAAGTTGCCATTTAAATACCCTGTGCAGTGCAGCCCCCTGTGAGATTTTAGAGCAGAGTCCCTTTTGGCCCTTAGGAGCTCCTGTAGGGAATTGGATGCTTTTCTCACCTCAGAGCTCTAGGACATTGGTAGGCAAACTAAGGCCCGGGGGTTGGATTTGGCCCAATTGCCTTCTAAATCCAGTCTGTGGACGGTCTGGGAATCATTGTGTTTTTACATGAGTAGAATGTGTGCATCTCTGGGTTATTTGTGGGGCATATAGGAATTCGTTCTTTTTTTCTTTTCCAAAATATCGTCCAGCCCCCCACAAGGTCTGAGGGACAGTGGACTGGCCCCCTGCTGAAAAAGTTTGCTGACCCCTGCTCTAGGAAGAGTGCTGTCTTTGAAGGTTATTTCTTACTATTAGTAACATAAAGATAATGTTGGTTTTGCAAGAAGCACAACGGGCTTCTCCCGTTTACTGGTTTATGACAATGTTGGGTGCATCAACGTGTTAGCTAGAAGAGTGTGCCATTCACATTAATTATGAAACATGCAACAGTTGCCTGTCTGAATCCCGTCCATATTGACGTGGAAGTAAATCGTGTTTAGTTTAAGGAGACTTCCTCCCAGGTAAATCTGCATAAGACTGTGGCCTCAATGACTGAACACAGCCATTAGTATCAGATGCTGATATTTAAGGATTCTGAAATGCCCACTACTAACACATAACAAATCTGCACCTATTCATCTTTTTCTATCTCCTGTACAGTAATGATATTTTTATGGTCTATTACAAAGGGTTCGGAACACAGTATGATTCATCCTCCATCCTGTCTTTTGTCCCTTGTTATGTAATGTTCTCTGTACATTGTGAACAGAGCAGGATGCCCTTATCTAGACAGCCCAGATATCTAATAAATCTACTATAATTTCTTACAGTGTTTTGATGGCCTATTTGGCAAGCTATGTCCTAAAAACAGGACTAGGCCATGCTTCGTAAAAAGATATTAAAACCTTCCTCTCTCTCTAAAAAATATATAGTGTTTGCTTTACATGAACATGAAAGAAAGCTGATTTATTTCTCTACCAGTATTTTCTTGTTATGGATACTACCAAAATAAATCCCAAAGGGTTTATCCTGAGAGCCAACTTTGGCAGGTCATATGATTGACATGTGGGTTGTCCCACCCACCTGCCACAGTTGGCCATGGGGGTGGGGGAAATAAAGATCTGGCCCACTTGCACTTGGCCAGGAAGATTCCTCACCCCCATCCACTGTAAAATAAGCCTTGGCTGCTACTTGCGAAGTTTTCTTTTTTGATGTTGATGTGTTTCTTCCTTTTGAGCATTGTGCAAGTGATCACCTTGCCCATGTTTTAAACTCTGCTCCCTGATTAACTTTCCCCTCTTCCTCTGAGTGTTGAAATTTCAGGGAGATCTTCTAGGATCAGCCTTGTTTGGGGAAGCCACTGGAGGTCTTGGTCTTTAAAGAATATCTGTTTATTTAAAGAGACACAATGCCCATAGCCTGCAGCAGTGCTCTCCCCAAAACAACACAGTAGCACTCCTGGCTCATCAAGACTCCCAGCCCAGAAGCCTCTTAGCTCCAGAACACCAAACTGCTTTTTCTGTTTCATTGATGGGTCAAAATCAGGCCATAAATACTATGCCTTGCAGTCAGAGCTCCTTTGGGCAAGCTGACTTTAGCCCATAACTGTGACAGTTTCCAGAACACCATAGTAGCTAACGATCAGCTTAATGAGCCTTTCTGACCACAGCACATCAAGTCTACTGAGAGAAATACTTGCATAAGGCAGCATGTCTGTAATGAAATTCTAGCCCAGGAAATGGATTGCAGTGGTGTACATGGATATGTTTTGTTGAGGATGTTATGCTAGCATTTGGGCAGCTGGGAATATAGTAGCAGTAAAGCTTGGCTTGGTGCAGATGACTTGGAGGTAATTGTATGAGATCTCCCTGTGAGACTCTGGACAAAACTTGCATTCCCCCACCCCACCTCCAAACTGTGTGCCTGTACGTACTCCACTTCTTCTTAAAGATCATCAAAAATAATCTCACTTCTAGAGCCTCACTGTCTTATTGTGAACAAATGTGCTCTTGATTTGTGTGCTCATTCTCCCCCAGGGAGAAGCAGCATTTTAAGTTGGCATTCATTGATGATAAGACTGCCTTGTGGATATCATGCAGCCCTCTAACTTGGCATCCTTGCTCTGCCAGATAAGTATTTTTTTGGTAACCTTCTAATATTTATATTTGATTTCATAGTTAGTGGGTATCAACAGTACATGCAAAGAGTGCTCCCGTATTTACACCAGCCGCTGCTTTTTCTTGCCTTCCAGTCAATTAAAAATGTAGTGTCACCCTCGAATCCAAAACGTGCCCATCCAGATCTCCTTTCTTTGAGGTTTTAGGGTTGCCATATTTCAGACAATGAAAATCCGGACAGAAAAGTTGTTGTTTTCAGTTGAATAAATATTACATAGAATAAATATTACACATTTATACAACTTCACATTCTACAATTCATGCGCTCATTCTGGAACTGGTATCATAGTACATACTTGCCCCAGCTTTGATTTATTCAAAATAGTTGATTTTACATTTGTTCCCACTACAAATCTGTAAACAAAAAAAAAATTTTTTTTTAGATGTGTAGGAAAACATGGGAAAGCTTTTTACATACAATTAGTCCAAATAATTGTTATACTGGACTAGTATAACATACTCTTTACAAGAATTCATGAAAGTCTTGACACTTCTTTCATTCTCAAATGCCACAGTATAGTTATTTTCAGGTGTTGTTCTGTGGAAGCAGAAGCACGTGACAAATCTTAGGTAGATTCTACTATGGTGCTGGTTTTGACCTTTAAAGACCTAAGCAGCCTGAATCCAGAATAATATGTAGAGCGCGCATACCCACATTCCATATAAATGCTTTTAGACATTTTGGAAGAAAACACATTTGTTATTCCTGACTTTTGTATAAACCTTCTGGTATAAGCTGGAATTGCTTTTTGAATTGCAATTTCAGTTATTGCTTGCCAATGCAATTGTTTTTGTATTATTTTGATGCTGCTTTTATTGTCTTATGGTTATAAAACTCTTTGGAGATTATTTTCTGGGGAAGTATTTTAAATATGACTTAAATTTGGAGTGCAGGTGTAGCAGAGTCAAGTTTTTGGACTGACATGTTCCAAAAAGTGTCACCCTCCAAACCCTTAACCTCACTAGCACTAGTCTCTTGTGGCAGCAGTCAGAAAAGGGGGTGTTGGGGACACCTACAAAATGACATCAGATTATCTTGCTAATCTGTGTACAGATTATGGTGTAGAGTGATCGCTGCGGAAAGTCTGTGCACTTTCTGGTGCCTGTGTTTGGCACTACTGCACCTCTTACATCTGCAGGAGGAGGAAGCAGACTGTAAGGTATAAGGCAACAATGGAAAAGGAGGCTAACTGAAGACAACAACTCAGATTTTGTTTTCTCTTTGGGCAGCAAAAAGGCTGCAGCTGATCCATCTTGTGCTAATACTTTTACTTGTCCTTATTGTGCTGTGAAACACTTTGCTTTCAAGCAGTTCCCCGCATGTGGTATACAGGTAACTTGCATCTTATGTAGGGGTTACATTCCTGGCCATTGCATGTATAAGCAACATCACACAAAGCCGGAACAACCCCAAGGAAATCATTTAAAATTGTTGCACCTACCAGTGAGGGACGAATATGACTTGTGTTCTTCTTCCTCTTCTCCCTCGCTGGATAATGCTTCAGATGATATGAGAACAAGGGGGCTTGACTGGCAGCCAGAAGATGTTCTTGGCTGTGGTTCAGATCCAGAGCTGGGTTGCTTGGGCACGTCTGATACTACTGTTGTTATTGATCCTTTGTGGGGATCTTGGTGATTGGCAGCTGCCACTGTTGTCTCTTGAGCTTGTCAAGCATTTCCTTGTATGGTCTCAGAGTTTCTGTAAGCTCACTGGTGATCTTGAGGCCATGTTCCATGAAGGGGTCAAACTCCACAATCATATCTTTTGCGTGCTTTAAGACTTGGGAAGAGCTAAGAAAATTTCTGCAGGTTCCAGCTTGCAGGTTCATGCTTACCTCCTCATCTTCCTCCTTGCATTCTGAACTTGATCAGACCAGTTCCTCCTGCTCTTCAAGAGTCAACACCTGTTGGCCCTCAATTAGCTCTTCCACTCTTCATGGATGAGGCCGGCAAAGCCATCACCACCCATTTGCCTGGCCATCTGCACAATGTCTTCCACCACAGTGGCACTGCTTGGAGATCCCTTGAAATCATGCACACATTCCTTCTACAAGTTCCGCCAGCATGCACACATAACTGCCTATTGTCCCAAACTCTTGATGCAAATCTGTTGTTCATATCGTTCCCCTCAACAGAACATGGTTATCAACAAAAAGAAGCATATCTGTGGGATGTTGCTTAGAGACATGCAATTTGGAACTGAGAATCAAGCATTTTGCTGTTCAAGATTTCTTGCTGTTTTTTCTCTTCTTTTAGGCCAAAGCATATCTCTTCTCTCAAGAAGGCACAGTCATCTGCCTGCTTTCAGGCTCTATAGGCATAGCAATATCTTTTACATTGCATTTTATATGATGTAAACTGCCTTGTTATATCATGTGAAAAGATTGGGTTATAAATTTCAAATAAATAAACCCATTGCCATAATTGTGCTGGGAAAATATACAAAGCTTTCTCTTTGTATATTCATGAAATATACAGTCATTTCTGCCAAAGATCAAATGAAGAACAGTAGCCATTTTTTGCACTAATCTTATATCATCTGGCTAGCATATAATTGACAGACACTGCGTGATACTGTGGATAATAACATTCACTTCCTTTCACACTGGCTAGCAGACATTTGTTTTAACTTGTGAATTTAGGCTGAGGCTGTTTAATTGCTTATGCTGCTTTGATGCAGACAAGCTTCTGCTTTCCTTAGGCTATTTTACAGAGATATCAGTGAACCAATTCAGAGTGTACTCAAAATAATTGAATATTGCTTTAGAAATATGCAGCAACAATGAGTCAAATTTTATTTATTTATTTTTTTAAATGAACAAATCATTCATTTTCACCCTATCCATATCCTTTGGTACTGCATACTTTAGAATATTTTGTTACATTTTAAAATAACACATTTCCTTTTCCTTAAGGACACAAGTGAGAACAGAATATATTGACAAAGAAGTGTGAAGGGAAGAAATGAGAATGATCAGGAACTGTAAAAGGCATACTAAAGGCTTTCTTGGATGTAGGTATAAAAAAACCAGCAACCGTTATCTTGTAATCACCAAAGTACTACTGAGGAGAATCTGAGTATTCTTTTTTATTTCCTATTAGCAGAGTGGATAACACTTAGGAACAAGTACCGTTATTTTTTTAAGTATAATTAGTTTTGGGGTTAGCTGTAGCTTTTAACTGATACGAGATCTTATCTGTAGTTAATATTTCCTGTATCTTATTATACTTTCCTGGAACAATAGGTGGATTTATTTCTCCATTTTTCTGCAGTTTGTAACTTTGCCCCTCCCCCTAATTTTAGTAGTTACAATCAGCATGCAGTTCAGCTCCCCTTCCAGGCAATAATCCCCTGCTCACCCCCCTAAAGGGTGTAGGAACCTCCCCAAGGCATTTCATGATGGGCTACTGCAAGCTGGGGGAAATCTTCATGTACCCGAGGCCAGGCTGGTGTGTTGTGGCTAGAGCAGTGAAAAGTCTGTTCATAGACTTTGATGAAAAAGCTCTGAAGGACTGAGGTAAAATTCTACAGGGATTTGCAAAATCAAAGCAGAGTCTCAAAGTTTAAGCCTTAAGTAGAATTCAATAAGATTGTTTCATTAAAGCCAGGCGTGGATTTAGAAAAAGAAAGAGAAACACAATACAGGCAGTCTCTAGAGAAATACTCAGGGTAATCTGCCAGAATTTTGAGGAGTAAAGTGTTCCTAAAGGCCAAAGAAGCAGCATATGGAAAAGCTTTTAATGATGTCTGATAGCACTGTTAATGCCTAGATGTTTTATGACATTTTTAATCTAACCAAAATAAATAACAGGATCCTAATTCATTTCATATTGTTAAGTTCTCCTGCTGATTGATGGGTTGAAATTCTTTATTAGCAGGGGCTGGGGACTCAGGCACTCTTTCGCTGGACATTTTCACCATACGTTTTGGTTTGCCGCAGTGTCTGCATACAATTAAGGAAAGCCAGCCAGTTCTGAGTTCTTCGGGGCCTCTGCACAACTGACATTGATTACAGCAAAACGAGAAGAAAATTCTTGGCCTCCCTGCACAATGATAAACACACTGGCTTAGTTCTGTGCTACGTTGGAAAGATCACAGTCAGCTGCATCTTGTCTGTGTCTGGTCTGCATTTTGAAAGGAGTCCTAATTAGCATTCAAACAGGTTCAGTGGAGCTCTGTAGTATTCTGTTAATATCTGAGTGGAAGGTTCCCATTTTAATTGCTTCATATTGTAGCCAGACATTAAACGACCAGTGTAAAAAAAAAGGGGGGGAGGAACCCCTTTGGCTTTAATTATCCTGTTAAATTGTTAATGTGTCTGCAGCATTGTGCAGTTTGTGGCCGAAGGATGGGGTTATAGTCTGAATTAGTATTTTCAATAAGAGGGAGGGGGTTCTTCCAGATAGGGACCTAATATTGCAAACGGGCTATTATGATAACACGAATGGGTAGTCAACAACAGATTTTTGTAATTTTTTCATGGGAAGGGTAAATAGGGAGACTTTTTGGAAGCTGGCTGTGGGTTGGCATTTTGATGTTGACTATGTCATGTGGAAGCACCATAACTCCATTTAAAAGTCATATGAAAGTACAGTGGTACCTCGGGTTACATATGCTTCAGGTTACAGACATTTCAGGTTACAGACTCCGCTAACCCAGAAATAGTGCTTCAGGTTAAGAACTTTGCTTCAGGATGAGAATAGAAATCGTGCTCCGGCAGCGTGGTGACAGCAGGAGGCCCCATTGGCTAAAGTGCTTCAGGTTAAGAACAGTTTCAGGTTAAGAACGGACCTCCAGAACAAATTAAGTACTTAACCTGAGGTACCACTGTATTGCACTCATTGCACAGATTATATATGGATTCAAAGTGAGTTGGGAAAGTAATGGAAAAGGAGAAAAGGATAATGGAAGAATGACTTCAATTTTTTTAAAGGGAAAACTTAACTACCTAGAAGAGAAGATGTCCACTGACATTTCATAGTTGACAAAACAGAGTCATTTAATCATCATCATCATACATTGTATTTATGTTGATTAGGATATTTAATTTGTTTTTCATTATTTATCTTTTATATTTTTGATAGTGAAAATTGGAAATACTTGAGTACTTTTTAAACCCTGATTTTCACACTGGGGATTGCTGGCTAGGCTAGAATTGCCACCAGTCCCAGCCAGCATGGCCAATTATTAGATATGAAATGTCTGTGAGGGTACCAGGTTGGGGAAGATTGGCCTACGCCGATGCCCCCATCTCCATAATTGTACATGGGCATATCTACCTGTTATGTGTTGCATTTTACCAGTGCGGAGATCCTTATCCCCCATAGTTTATTCCCTCTTTAAAGCTATCATTTGCTACTAATCGTGATGACTATATGTTACCAGCAGGATCAGATGCAGCATGTCTCTGAATACCAGCTGATGGGGAATTGGCTACTTAACTGAGTGAGGCCTTGCTTATGAACTTCCCAGGGGTGTATGGCTGGCCATTGCAGGAAGCTGGATGCAGGATCAGTCTTTGGGCTGATCCAGCAGGGCGATAAGAAGCTTTTATACATAAACTTCTTTTTACCTTTTTATGGGGGGGGGTTAATTCATGGTTTTAAATAACCTGTGTCCCATGGCAAATAGAACCTCTATGTGATCAGACAATGATGTTTTTGGAAATGAAGGTTTTCAGCTGAGGAACTGCCTGGAATTAGGTGGGTGGTTGCCGGGGGTCTCTTTTATGATTATGAGCAGGTTTGTAGAGCTCCTTTCCCAGACAATTGTTGCCTGGTGCTGGCACTGCTATTCTTTGAGTGCCACATTAAATCCGTCCTGTCCTCCCAACCTCCTGGTGGTTTACAAAATCTATTTGCTTATTTAATTTTAACAGCTGCTGCTATTGCTGTTTTTATGTGTTTAGGCTTCTGTGTCATACTGCTTTCAGGTTTGCTTTCTATAGCATTTTCCCGAGTCCGGGGGTGGGGGGCAGTGTTGTTATTATTGTAGTGATGATGATGATGATGATGATGATGATTTTGTTTTTGTTTTTAAATTGAGTTCTCAGTTGCCTTTGAGACCCAATGCAGTAGAAAGGTAAGATCAGATATATATTAAAAAACTGGAAGGAATATGAATATCGTCAATCAATACATGTGGGGAAAAGATAGGTCTATTTCTATATTGCTTTGGTTATCAGTGACTGACAATAGTTACATGTGAGTGGGCTAGTTATTATTTTTAAGCTTATTCTGCAAGGCAGTTTTTGCTGAATCCAAATATGATTTAGAGAAGTCTACCACTTAATATTTCAGATGAACTATGCCTGTCTTACTATGTCAGATAGTAAGCTTCAGAAATCAAACATTTCTTTCTACATTGTCTCAAACATTTTTATTTCATTCAAAAGTTTGTCCAAGAATTGACTGTTAATGTAACAGGTTTCTGATGTAAAGCTCCTAAAATCTCCCAAGTACAATTTTCAATTCAGTGTTGTTGTTTTCAGTTTTCTCTACTGCAGCATTATAGGGTATTGAAGCATAACTTTTTGCCAGAGTTCTTATACACCATGTTGAGTTGTGCTATACAATCCATCTAAAGTTAGTCATGACTAGGGAAGTAAGAAGGCAGCCATTTCAGTTCTGACCTGTCACAATCAGTGCTGTTTCCATTCCACTGCAGCTCAGTTCCTGTTAAATACTATGTTAATCATCCTACTGTCTGCTATTTAACAGAATTTATGTAATTGTTTACTTAATTTATGTAAGTTATGAATTTAACATAGTTAATCGTTCTTCCTACACCATTCATTTCAGTGCAAAGGAAACACAATATAAATGAGGGAGAGGGAAGCCATCCATTATGCATTGTTTCTAGACTGAAAACAACAAGAAGTTGAATTCCATTCCAAACATGGGATGAATAAGTGAGCATCAGCAATTTGTTCTTCTGTTTCCATTTTCACTGGAATTCTGCAACATCCATCGTCATGACTAGATCCTCTCTTTTTTTTAAGGGACCTGAGTTTCTTGTCCCTAAAACCTTTTTGTTGGCTTCCATAGGAATTAGTGATAGCTGTGGGTAAAACCTCAGCGCCTAGGACTTGCCGATCGCATGGTCGGAGGTTCGAATCCCTGCGGCGGGGTGAGCTCCCGTCGTTCGGTCCCAGCTCCTGCCCACCTAGCAGTTCGAAAGCACAATAAAGTGCAAGTTGATAAATAGGTACTGCTTTCTAGCGGGAAGGTAAACGGCGTTCCGTGTGCTGCTCTGGTGCCGGTTCGCCGGAGCAGCTTCGTCACGCTGGCCACGTGACCCGGAAGTGTCTGCGGACAGCGCTGGCTACCGGCCGATAGAGTGAGATGAGCGCACAACCCTAGAGTCTGTCAAGACTGGCCCGTACGGGCAGGGGTACCTTTACCTTTACCTTTTAAACTCTAGTTAGGTCGGGGCTAGTTTAATGGAGTGGTCCAAAAATTTTGCAACATTTTTCACCCACCTCTGCGGCAATACATAAGTAAATGTAGTGCAAATTACTGATCCAGTGAAACTCTCCAGTTTATGAGGTGACTGGTATGCAGAACACAGATTATGGTGCTGATTTTTTTAAAAAATAAAGGAAATTCTTTTTTATATGTCTTGAAAGTTCTCCAAGAAAGACAGTTACTAGTGCTAGATGGACATGACTGGGTCTGTACCTGCAAGCAATAAAACAATTCTGAATATAGAACCAAAAGATAGAATAGGAAGCATCTTGATTTCTGGAGGATAGACTACTGAGATGTCGCTGGGTTGTGTTTGATTTACCTATCATTTCAAGCCCTATAGAGGCATGACTAATAGGGAAACGTAAGCACATAAAGGAGGGCAGCAGGAATGAGAATGCTAGCTTCACCCCTTTCCACCACTATTTCACTTGACTTCCAACTCCTGGAGGGTGAGTGTCTGTAGTGGGAAGTCTTTTTGTATCCATGGAAGCTCCCTGTGCATTTTGGAGCCCTGGAAAATCTAGTTGAAATACAGTAAGAATGTGTGGATGAAGAGAGTGTGGTCGTTGCACTACTACCATTCTTCTTATTGCATTTCCTTATTGGTAATGCTCTCTAAAGTCATTAACAATCCTGTGCAATGCAAAATTAGAGGCTGCTGCTAATCAAAGGCCACTGGAACATCTTGTAGTCCTTTTAGCTCAAATACAGGGATGGGTAAATGTCCCTCAGCAAGTGAGTAGGTTTCAGTTAACCACATCATCACATCCCCCCCCCAATTGTTAAATAATAAAGAAAAATGGCATTTTGAGATGTTTAGAGAAAGAATGACAGAAAAACCTACCCATTCATTGCATTTAGACACCTTTGATTCATGATTCAGTGTGATTCGTCTTGTCAGCTGCTTAAAAATTCATAGCAAACTCTGTATTAATGTCATCTAGAAATAGAAAAAGAGAAGGAGCGATGTAAGCAATAAAGCAAGCAGAGACTCTATTGTTCCCACCGAAGACATAGCCAACATGAGGCATGATTTACAGTCAGACATTTTGTATGATCATAGCACCCTTGTACTCTTTGATCTTAAATAATAGCTTTAAATACAAGTGGTCAAATAGGAAAGGTGTGTAGCACTTATGAGTCATTACTCAATCCCTGTTTCCCACTGTTGAAACAGGCTTCCCGCAAGCTGTTGCAGGACCCAATTGCAACTTTGAGTTTCAACCTCCCTACCTAAAGTTCTGGGGTCAAGTTTGTTTCCTCCCTCAATGGAAAACAACATAAACACATAAGAGTATGCTGCAGATGCTTTTGTTCAATTGCCATTGCGCCTCTTTGTTGCTGAGATTCTATCGCTTTCCCTCCTCTTAAAAATTGCTGCTTTCCTTGGTTGTTGCTGTTTTTTAATGGTTGTTTCTCCTTCTTTCCAATCTGGCAGGTACAGAAGATGTTGTAGCAATAATGATCCCTGAGCCAAAGGGGAAAGAGATAGTGAGTCTGCTGGAGCGAAATATTACTGTGATGATGCATATAACAATTGGAACCCGAAACCTACAGAAGTACGTTAGCCGAACCTCTGTGGTATTTGTCTCCATCTCCTTCATTGTGCTGATGATCATCTCCTTGGCATGGCTAGTCTTCTACTACATTCAGAGGTTCAGATATGCGAATGCTAGAGACAGAAACCAGGTGAGTAGCTTTGCAAATGGACATAATTTTCTCTCCCGCACTGCCCCAAGTTCCTTAAAAGGGTTTATGTCATTGTTATTTAACCTTTCCGAGCCCATAGTAATGAATTGCATTTTAAATTAACCTGTCTTTTTATTGCCAAGAAGGAAATGTTTAATATGAGGGAAAGGGGCAATGAGAGAGTCAGCTAGTCCAAAAACAAAAAAACAGGGAAGAAAGACAGGTGAATTAATAGATTCTTACACAATGAAGTGCTTGTTATATTTTTCACCTGCACTAGGAACTGTGGAATTCCCTCCCCACAGAGATGTGTCTGGCACCTGTTTCCCCTGGCCTTTGATAACTGTTTTTAATGTTATATTTTTATATTGCTGTAATTCATCATGAGAACTTATCATGACGGGTTGTCAGAAATCTAACAAATAATAATAATACAATACAACAGCTAAGAGAATAACAAGATGATGTGCCATTTGACAGTTCTTGCACTGAATAAGTGCAGTGTCAGAATTGATAGTTCTATGCCCAGGAATGTGTTCACACTATTTTTATTTATTTTTTACTCCAGAGAAAACAACCATTAACACATTACTTAAAGCAAAGTAAGAGAATTTTACTCCTGGTTAAAAATGGGGCACCTAACTCCCATATGGCTTGTGATGGTAGCAGAGTTCTTACATTCCTGTTGTGTTGTGTGCACACTTCCTTCTTAGTCTCAGGTTGAGGAATTGGAACTGGAAATGCCAAAAGGCAACAGATAAGGAGCAAAGGGCCCAGACAGAGAGTAGTCAGATCTAGTAAAGTGGGAAATGGCAGTAAGTTAAAGAAAGCAGGAGTAGAAAAAAAGCAAAAAAGCTGTAACTTCTTTTAAAAGTGGAGAAACTTCTGCAGATAGAGGATGAGTAAAATAAACTATTTTTGTGTAGAAAATTGTAACTGTACAACTGCTCCATTAGTTTCCTATTTTCAGGTTTCTACCAGCCACCCAGCCCGTGTCTGCTTTCTGTAACCTCTCTTATCAGCACCAGGGTACAGAGATCCAGCAGTTACCTTTCTCTTTTAGCCCCACTGACTGAAGTAGCACCCACACCCCAGCCAAAATTTTGTACCAGCAGTTTGTATGTCTACACATACGCATCACTGCTCACATATATCAGGCTGTTTCAGAGACAAAAACGGACACCTTGGGGCCAAACTATACATTACATTTCTGTTACTTCTTCTTTAGTTACAGCCACAGGGATCCAGTTGTCATTAGAATCATAACATGCAAGGAGATGAGATTGTCCCTTCTCTCTCCTTGGACAAAGATCCCCCCACATTCTGGGCATGTCTATTAGATTCAGAAGGGGGAAAATATCCATTAGCGTCCAATGGAACTTTTAAACTGCTAAACTTCATGCCTGTGTGGGAGGGCGATTTTCAGCCAAATCGCATCTGGGGAGGGAAGGAATAAACCTCTCTATGCACTGTGATCACAGTGGCAGTCCTCCTCCACTAAGATATTAATATATTAGAAAGATGCCATTTTAACATTGGACACATGGCTGGAAACATTGCTGTCATGGAAAAATTGTCAAAGCAACTTAAAGCTCGAAGAAACACGAAAGCCAGAGATGCTTTTGAAGAAATTTGGTACTTGTTTGTTCAGTACATTAGGAAAGATAGCATAATGACAAAGCCACAAGCAACTCATTGCACTCTGGAACAATCTGCTAAGAAAATATCACAATATCCAATTATAATCATTTAAGAATAAACATATGGGCTATATTATACTTGCCTTATACTAATATATACACAGAGAATACTTTGGGGGAAGGGGGAGATGGAAATTAAGTTATGTGTATTTGTACTTTTGTATTATATAAATGCAAAGAAAGAGACTAAAAAAAATTGTGAGCACATAATTCACTGGAGGAACTACAAATGGCTTCCGCTAAAGAGGATTAAGTATTACACAAATGGCTTCAGTAAAAGAGACTGAAAAGCTACATATTTCAGACATGCTAAAAATGCAAATGTGCAATACTGCTGACAAATGTAAGATTAAGCTTTGCATACCTTATTAAAGAATATTCAGAATGGAGAGTAAAATAGCCCACATATTATATGCAAGTTTATTGGCCGAAAGATTGCTTGAAATAAATTCTGGAAAGCAAGGCTTGCACTTTTATTTTTATATTTCGTTCAACTGAAATTATGCTCAGTTGATGGCAATACATCTGTAAGCACCATTCATTGACATGCCATGGCTGTTATAATGGTCAACTTATTCTGCCCGTCAAGAGTCTCTTCATTGGTGCATGTGTAAAAAAGATACAATATCAACTTTCGTGGCACATGTCCACCCATACTTTTGTCATAAATATGTTTTCTTTATTAAAAGTTGGAAATTCCCCTCCAACTTTCTAGCAGAGCTATGTTTGAAAGAGCAGATTGCAGTTGGTACACATCGCAAACTGAATCTTTCCTACTAAAGAGAATAAAGATTCCTGTGGAATTTTTGGTGTGTTTTTTGACGTGTAGTGGTCGGAGTGTTGGACCAAAACCTGAGAGACCCGAGTTCATCTCCACTCAACCATGAACCTTGGGCCAGTCACTATCTCTTTTGCCTAACCTTGCTCATATGATTGTTGTGAGGATAATGTCAGGTGAACCATGTATAGGTGGGCTCTAAATGTAATAAATAAACTGTCCCATTCTCCCTCCTGCAATCCATCAGCTGCATCTGATGAACTCTATGCAGATTTTAAAAACCACCACTGACTTATTCCTCTTGTTTGCTTTGGAATAAAAAAATGAAATTTCCTTGGCCTAATGTTCAGAGAGTATCGATTTCCAAGTCCTGTTGTCAACATTTATTGCTTGCCAGCTTTCATTCCGAAACTGAGAGCTGCTAATAGGGAGTCTTCTCTTGACAGCTTTCTTTCAGTCTGTGCCATTAGTCTTTGCTGCAACCATTTTCCTTTATTCCTGTGCCATGAGTTCTTCTATTAAAGTAGCCCTTCCTGCCTGGATCAAAATATAAAACATTAACAGTTAATATATCTTTGGCTGTATGATATGTAGAAAAGATGTGAAACATCAACTTGCTTATAACTTATATCTGTTTGGCCTTTGGCTCTCACATATTCAGTATTTCTTCTGTGTCTTCTTGGGCAAAGTGCTCAAAGCTTAATGTCCACTGTAGTATTGCATATTTGACATTTGAAGTATGGAGATTTTCCATCTCTCCTTCTAAAGCCATTTGTTGCAAACATTTGCCCTCTTTAGCTTGGCCTTTGTCATTCCCTCCGCTCAGTATAATGTTCACTGATATATAATGCATAGCAATAGCTATGATAATTCCATCATGGGTTGCTAACATGCTGCCTGGGGGTAGACACGCATCCACAAGAACTTTCCTTGCTATCCCCAGGGTCCCATCCCTCTGCTTCTTCCTCCACTGCAATGAGGCTTGGGGAGAAAACCCCTTGTTTAGCCAACAGAAGGCTTTTAAAAGCCTAATTATACTGCAAGGAACAATTTAGAGAGGGGTTGCATGTGTGGTGCCCACAATAGTTTTTCTGGATTGCAAATGTGGCCACGGTCCCGAAAAAGATTGGTAACCCCTGTTGCAGGTCATTCTTGTCAATATCTTTATCATGTGGTATTTTAGTTCTGTCAGCAGCCTATTTTAATTATTTAAATATGTGTTTCATTTGTTTTCTGCACTGGTTTGCTTTCCTTTTGACAGAGAGCACCCAAGCTCATGTCAAATTGATTACAGCTCTAGAATTTTATAGCAGAGGAAGCTGTATAGTCTCATCTCAGATCTAAAACATAAAAGGCAAAAGGCAGGTGTCAGTCAGTGGACCATAACACGAGAAAAAAGTAGTTTCTCTGTTTGCTAGGAAGAAAATATCACTTCTGGTTGCAGTGGCAAAGAACAGTCCACAGGCACTATGGAAAGAAAAGGATGATGACTTCTGCCAGCCACTTAGATGAGCTTTACTACTGCTGCCACCATCACAAGCAACAGCAAAACTTCATCTTCTTTCAAATTAAAAAAAGGAATCCACCGCTGCTATCCACCATAGTAAATAACCCTATTCCACATAAACCAGTAAAAAAACAAACCCTGCTGCTCTCCAAATTGACAAAATACCCTTTAAAATTCACCTTAGATTAAAAGGTCAGCTTGGAATGTCATTGACACTTATGCAATGTAGATCCAGTGAAAGGAAGTTCCAGAGCTCTGGAGCCACTACCAAGAAGGCTCTTCCACATGCTGCCACACTATGAGCCTCCACAAGTAGTGGAATAGCTAACACAGCCTCCCCAAGTGAATACAGCTTCTCCTATAGGAAGAGTCCCTGATCACTTAGAAGTTGCAGTATTGGAATTATGTTTCCTTTGTATAGGCTGCATGGGATGGGAGAATGTTTAGATGACCCAACCATTTGAGTTGGTCCTGATCACTGGAGCTTTCCCCACTCAAGCGACACATGGAATGAGGAGAAAGGGAACTACCCTGGATAAATGTCTAAACACTGTAAAAATGAGAAAGTATTCTACTTTGTCTTACATGGTGATCATATTTTTAAAACTTAAGTGTATTCCAAAAGTATCACAAATATTTAATCCGTTATTGTCCACCCTCATTTTCCATCTTAAACTGAATTTCTAATTCCCAAAAGTATTAAACATCTGCTGACTCAAAAGTTGAAGTTTCCGGCAAAAATATTCAGGGAGGCAAGGAGTGTGTCAGCATTTAATTTAAATGATGAACAATCAATATGAAAGTACATTTAGTAGGTGGAAAGTATTTAGTAGGTGGCATGGGGTTGTGTTCATCGCTAATCCTTCTTGCAGTGGATCCACTAAAATTAATGAACATGACAAACTGGATCCATTCATTTAAATAGGTCTTCTCTGAATCAAACATCATTTGGATGCAACTAGTGTTATTTTAATAATAAGTGGTTTTATTCTTAAATGCTTCATGAGAGCAAAATTGAGGAGCAAACTATCATGGCCATCCTGCCAGATCTATTTTACACTAGCTCACATTCTTTGATATATATTAAAAGCGCACAAGAAATATTTTCCTCCCTCTTTCCTTTCCCCTCCATTCTGTGCAAGCTGTGAGAGAAATGGTGCCAAAGATAAAATGCTGCTTTACAAGATAATAGTTGGCGAGCATGTCATGATCAAGAGCTACATTAAATGTTCATTTTGTTATCTCCCTTCTGAGGAGCTGTATGAAGGACATGTTTCACATTTGCAAACGATGGACGTGATCCAGCCAGAGTGCACCACTTTTCAGCCCCACTCATTGTGGTGGCTGAAATTTGTGCCGACTAAATAGTGCTACTTAAGAGGACTCTGGAAGGCCCTGACTCAGCACTACATAGTGGAATACGACCACCACATAAACCCCTCAGTAAGGATGTCATCAGCATTTGACCAGGGCCTCTTGGGTAGGTAAACAGCTCTGGTGAAATTATAAAACATAGCCTCCCAATGTGCAGTTGGAATCACATCTTTCTCTTTCCCTGCTAAGTATGGACTGTTTTGCCTCCATATTGTGCAACAGAAGCAAAGCTGTGCGTCCCAGGGAGAGGTGATGGCAGCCTTCTCCACACTGCATGGCTTCTCTCCTGCTGCTCAGTACAGTGGTACCTCGGGTTACATACACTTCAGGTTACATACGCTTCAAGTTACACACTCCGCTAACCCAGAAATAGTGCTTCAGGTTAAGAACTTTGCTTCAGGATAAGAACAGAAATCGGGCTTCTGCGGCGCAGTGGCAGCAGGAGGCCCCATTAACTAAAGTGGTGCTTCATGTTAGGAACAGTTTCAGGTTAAGAACGGACCTCCGGAACGAATTAAGTACTTAACCCGAGGTACCACTGTACAGGGTGGAAGGTGCCTTTCTTCCATGATGAGCAGAAGGAGAAAGCGTTTCCAGGGCATGAAGGCTGCCCCCAGCACTACAGCCTTCCCTCCCGAGTAGAAGACCTTTGGGAGGTGTTAGGCTTGTCAGCGTGGCCCCAAGATGTTAAACCCCATATATTGCACTAACATAATAAGGGCAATTAAACCAAAAATATATAACATGATTTAATTAGCAGGAAAAAAAGATCAAGAAATTCAAAAACATAATGAAATGTATCTACAAAAACATAACTAGGGGGTTTTTTTAACCATGAACTGAAGGTCCTTCTGTAAACAGAGCAATGCTAACATCCAAGTCGATATATCCAGTACACAGAGATATAGTAAATGCAAGAAACTCAGTGGAGCCCATTTGGAAAAGGAAGTGCCCCACATGTGTATTGGATCACATGACAGGATTCTTCAGCAGCTCCTATATATTTTTATCAGTTCACTGTCTTCTTTACACTGAGCGGCTCCAACAATGAAGTGGAGTGACTCTGTATTTGATAATTGCTTAAACAAAAAGTGGGGGTAGGGGTGAGCAGCCAACTAGCAGTTTGGCCTAAGTTGATAGCCTTATTATAGTGCATTACATGGTTTAAAAAAGGAAATAACTGCAGCGACAGCGCTTAAAATAAACTGCTTTTTTTGGAAACTCAATCTTGGGTATATCTATATTTCTTAACTGCTTCCCCCCTTTCCAAATCCTTGCTTCTCCTTTCTGAAAACTGGAATGGTGCCTTGGAAAAACAAACAAACAAAAAAGCAAATGGAAACAGATGGGTGAAGAATGATTCACATTCCAGACTTTCAGATGCAAAAAATATGTGGAATAATTTTTTACCCTAATTCTCCAGGCAGATGGCTTCACTCATGCAGGGATGGTGTGAAGTCAGTACGTACTTAGGTTGGGAAAAAATGGATGAAGTCCTAAAGTGCCAAAGTCATTTTTCTTAGCTTAGAAAAGTATTAATTTGGCAATAAAATGTAGTGGGGAAATGCATTTTCAAATGTTGCAGAGTACGGAACATTTTCAGGTATTTGGCCAAGGCATGCGGTCTGGGATTCTGCCAGGGATATACCTCTTGCAACATAATGGCAAGGCCTTTGCACAACATCCTGCAACTTCTTTTGCATAGACCTTTTCTGGAATATTATGTAGTATGAAATAGGTAGCAGGGGATCAGCAAAAATCAGCTACACCTGATTCTTCTGTCATTGGTTCCTGTTCCAACAGATTGAACATCTATAACAATGTGAGATAATTAGATACCTTTTAATCCATCCTGCATCTGGTGTTTTGTCGATACCAATTACTCCCCGTATTAGTGACCTCTTTGAATCCAATATTGCATTTACGTAGCTCTTCTCTGTTTCATTTAAAATGATCTTGGGCCATCAAACTATTACAGAGCCATGCAAGAACATCTGTGTGAAGGTGTGCTCTTTAGTAAAGAGTGATATATTACATTTTTAGCGCCGTCTGGGAGATGCTGCAAAGAAAGCAATCAGCAAACTGCAGGTCAGAACGATAAGGAAAGGAGATAAGGTAAAAAATTTTCTTAAGTCTTTGTTTTAACCAAGCAAGGTGGGGGTGGGGAATGCAGTTATTGTGCCGTGGGCAATAAAATAAAATAAACCAGAAACCTTTGTGTGGGCTACTTTCTTCCACAAAAGGGCCTGGTGAGGACTGAGGAGAGTGCTGTCTGGAAGGCACACACTGGTTGCTCATACCTGCAGCAACCTGCTACACTGACTCCCCATATGGAGGAAGGGTTGAAACTGGCCTCTGTTATGTGCTTCAGCAGTAGTACCAACATGGTTCCCTCCAAATATTGGTAGACTCCAGCTCCTGTCATTTCTGACCATTAACCATGGCTGGCTGGGGTTCGGAGTGCCACAGGTTCTCCATTCCTGAATTACAGGGATCCCTTTGCAAATGGGCACTGTAACCAATTGGACTAAACCGAACTCTCAGAATCTGGAAGGACTTGGGGATGTTATTAAATGTCAATGTATTTCAGTCCGCCATGCTTTTCATTGAAAATGTCGATCTCAATGTTTCTGTAGGAAACTGAACCCGATTTCGATAACTGTGCAGTGTGTATTGAGGGTTACAAACCGAACGACGTTGTCAGGATCTTGCCCTGCCGGTGAGTTGATATAACCATCCAATTAGAGAGATACAATTAATAAAGTAATTGATTTTTGTGGTGTTCTTCACAGGCCAATAATATGTCCTTGTCATTTGCTAACAGTGCAATATGCTTTAACCCCCCCCCCCAAAAAAACTCCAATTAAAGCTAAAACAATAACAGTGGCTTGGGGGGGGGGCTACAGAAACAGCATTGGTGTTTGAAATTTGGTTGCCAGAAATTTATCTGATTGGGATTTTTTTTAACTTACTGGATCACCTTAAAGTAGAAACAATTTAACTGCAGTTTTCCTTAGATATATCATATATATAGCAGTGGTGTCATATACATGCCCCCTTTTCAGCTACCTCAGTGCACATGCTGCTAGTATTTTTGGAAAGCCCACATGAAAAATCCAATTTGGAACAGATGATTTAGATCCAAAGGTTGCTTTGCTCTGATGGAAGAAGTCTTCCTTTGTCAGGGGAATAAAACCTCTGGACCCAATCTAATGTAATATGTTCCTTTTATGATCAGTGGGCGGGGGGGGGGGGCGTGGAGAGTAAACCAAAACCAGTAAATAAATAGATGTGACAGACTGCATGCATCTTTTTCCAAGCAAAGAAGCAAGCCTGTTAGGGAATCAATGCCCATTACTCCAATTCTCATCCTACGCAGGTTGATAGGTTCTCTGTTCACAGATCAAATTGTATGCTGTCAGTTCTCTTTCTGCAGTTGCAGATCTTGCATTTTGCAGTATCTTCAGTCATGGATACAGAGGTGAAACACAATAAATAGTTTTCTTATTTATGCTACTTTTCACAGTACCAAGGATGATAAATCTGCTGTCAGCAGATAAATGTTTTTTAGGGTCTGGTTTTCAATATGGAAAATTGCTTCCATTTTATTTTATCTTCTGAAGTTTTCATTTAGAGAGCTTTTTTCTACTAATTTTACATGTGAAATTACAAGCTAGGTTCCATCCACTACAATTTATTAACTACAAAGTATTTCTATTTTTCAGTACAGGTCTTCTTTCATCAGCTTTTTCTTGACAAAAGTATTTTCCACACAGATATATCTTCAGCTGTATAGTCCTTACGCTGCAAGACACTTCTGAGCTTTTTCAAAACAGATGGTATCAACTGCAACTTTGAGAAATTGTGAATATTCAGGTCTTGTATAGATTTTATTCATTTTTCTCCCTTTGTAGGCACCTCTTTCACAAATCTTGTGTGGATCCATGGCTACTAGACCATCGTACCTGCCCTATGTGTAAAATGAACATCTTAAAAGCACTAGGGATTCCGGTAAGCATGTAATGTGTAGAACACTGAACATAGTACAGTGGTACCTCAGGTTACATACGCTTCAGGTTACATATGCTTCAGGTTACAGACTCCGCTAACCTAGAAATAGTACATCGAGTTAAGAACTTTGCTTCGGGATGAGAACAGAATTCATGAGGCAGCAGTGGGAGGCCCCATTAGCTAAAGAGGTACCTCAGGTTAAGAACAGACCTCTGGAACGAATTAAGTACGTAACCAGAGGTACCGCTGTATTTTCATTAATCCTAATTCCACTTTTTAAAAAAGTGAATAAGCAAGTATCATCCTAGTGAGCATTATATGTCTATCCTGAAGATTTTGGGTCCCCTAAAGCCATTTCTCACCAATGCTAATAAGACAATATAAACTACACACACACACACCGAGTGACATTTTCAGTATGAACCATAACATGTAATGTATGGAAAAAACCTGAAGCTCAAAACTTCCCAAATCAGATAAACACACAACCCATAGAACAAAACACAAGGCAACAAAGTAAGCAACCCTCCCCAAAACCGACAACCCCTACAACAAAACACCCCCAAAATCAAAGAATACCCACACATTTTTAAGCGAAAAACTAAGTGAAAATTGTGAGGAACAGAGTGTGTCTGAGGGTAGCATGGCACCCCCCAGTACCACATTGGGGATCCCAGCAGTAACCCCATAAATTAGCAAAGCGTCTAGTAGATATCATCCATTAAGACACCTGAAGGGTTACGAAGAAAACGTCTAAATTAAGTATTAACTCCACATACCAAGCATGCATCAGTTCTGAAAAAAAGGCACATGATGTCGTATGCCTCCAATTTGAATAAACATTTCTGTGAGGATATGTCCAAGATAAGATTACTGTTTTAGGCTGCAGCCATAACCCCAGTTACCTTGCATTAAGGATCATTGAATTCACTGGCACTTACTTCTGAGTAGACATGGTTAGGCTTATGCTGTTACAGGCGCTGGTGTTTTGGTGCCATCAACAAATATCTAACATAACAATCTAGGTATGGATAGTCTCTAAATGACCATTTGCTTTCAGAAGAATTTGCAAACTAATAGAGACTATCCTGTAAAGAGAAGCCAAAATGCATGTTTTGAAATCCAAATCCATGAATATTTGGAACTACAATGAACTATAGAACTAAATGAACTATTTCTTCCTGTAATCCAGACACAAATATTTCCTTTCAGAATCTCTCTCCCCATTTCCATTAGACTCTTCTTTCTTGTTTTCATTAGCCCAATGCAGATTGTGTAGATGACATACCTCCAGATTTTGAAGCTTCTATAGGAGGGCCACCAACTAATCAGATTACAGGAGCAAGTGATATAACTGTGAATGAAAGCTCTGTAGCACTGGATCCTCCTGTCCGGACAGTTGGAGTACTACAAGTCATCCAGGATGCAGACCCTCTTCCACAGACTGGGGAAAATAACCTCAACACAAGCAGTAAGTTCTCAGCTCATTTGCTTAGAGTGAATGTTTCAAATGTGATTCATAAAATCGCCGGTGACTATTCTGTAGTATTTTCAACAGGTATATGGGTAAGTCCTGTTTCACATTGAAAATACTTCAGCAGAACTGGATTTCTCATTTGCAATTCCAATAGACATCCCAAATGCATTCTGTAATCCATTCCAAACCAAATTACATGGAATCATGATGTTCACTGTGATCTCAGATTGGCTGCAGTGAAAGCAAAAATTGCACTGAAGGTGCAAGCAGGCACAACCACAAATGAAAGAAGTTATTGGAAGAGGGTTTTGTGGTGTTATGCCAAAAATATTCACTTGTGAATATGCAGTGCGATCATAGTTCTAACTGAGAATATGCAGAGATCTCATGTGCCAGTCTGGTGTAATTCATTTATTATCAGAAGACTTTAAAGGTAAGCTTGAGTCCTGAGTGGGCCTCTTCTGGCAAACAAGTTGTCGCTCTCCAATCCTTGAATTGCGGGATGGCTCTATGTAACCCAAAGCAAATATGTCTGTGGCTCGCAAGAGTGTAAGCACAGGTTATATTTGCCCTTCTGTTAGGGTTCAGTTCTGCAGAAAGATGATCTTCTAGTCCTGCTATACATTTACTCTTCATAAGCCACAAGGGGACACAACATGTTTGGATTGTGTCAGACCACAGTAGCTGGCCTCAGTTTCAGCAGGCATTGCAGTATCTTACATTTGCTACCACAGCATACTTGAGCAGCTTCCAGATTTGACAATTTTAAAAATGCAGTTCTAGCAGGGACATTACTCTCACATTGGTTTCCTCCCACATGCATTTCAAAAGTTCAAAAGGAGCTTTAAACTCATATCAATTACAATGGGTTTTATACCTAGGTAGTTGGGATTAGGATTACAGCATCTGTTAGCTATACACATTGAGTTTCCTGCTACACTTTTGGATTTTTTTTAAAATAATCATATTTTTTCTGCTTTCTTTTTTTTCTTTTCTTTAAAAAATAAAATCACATGTTTTGTGACTTCAAAACAGGAAGCTGACTGACTGACTCACAGATATGAACTAACCAGGGCATACAGCTAGAATTTACTGTAAAATGGGAGCTGTGGGAAAGAGAGCATGTTGCAACATATGGGGAAAAGTCTTCTCTCTGCATTAGCTCTGAGGAAAATATCTTCATAGCGACCCAAAGTACTGTTTCAGTTTCAGCACTGTCGATCTGGGATATTAAAGGGAATCCAAGTTTTTTTTATTAACAATTTAATAAACAAAACCTAATATTTACTAGGGATAAGGAAGGGGAAAACATTCTACATTTCAATAGCATAACAGAATCAGTATGACCTATAGAAACAAGAAGTTTCCCCAGAATTTGTGGCCCCACCAATGAAAATCTGCCGTGTTTGATTAAAATTAGCCTTTAGTTGATAAATCTACTGGTTAAGCCAATTAGAGTTGGCAGACTGAGTTATTGTTTTTTTCCTATCCGTCATCAAGTGCTTTGGGACTATGGAAGTAGAGGTAGCCCCGGTGGAGTAGCCTTGGTGAGAAAACTTAAAAGCAAGGCTGCCTGAGGACTCTGTGTGAATATGGCATAAATTGGGCTCAGCACAACCCTGTTAAAAAAATAAAATTAAAATCACACAGATGTTTATGCACTGTTGGGTCCTCTGTATCCTCATTTCACCGTCTCGCCTATCTGGGGATTTTACACATTTGGCACATGATTGTCCACACTCTTCATTTTTTGGTCTTAGATTTTTCATAGATAATTCCTCTGTGCCTCATTCACAACAGTGAGTGCGTTTCCATGCTGCCTTTTTCTGGCCCCTCCTCTCAGTCACAGCTTCCCTGATTTCCACTACCTCTTCCCTTTCAGAGCATGCATGCAGGAAATTTGGGAACTTTGGAGGAAGAGCAAAATTTTACCAGCCCCTAGTTATCAGGGCAAAATGGAGGCTTACCCTTTTGGCGGGGACAGGTGGGCAACCTCCAATTTTTTTTATTTTTCAAATATCCTTTGAGCTGTGGGAAACAAAACAGTTAGTTTGTGCAAATGGAAATGTGGGTGTAACGAGAGAGGCCGCCCACAGAAACATTGCCACATGTATGACAAGCTGCCTACCTGAACAAATGCGCTATCAAGCTTCCATGCCAGTGATGACTGCAAATTTATAATAGATGGGAAAAGTTTACTTTAATGTATTTCCCACTGTAAGAGGAAATCTGGATTAAATGTTTTTAAAAACATGGCCTGACATTTTGATGATGGCAACATGGAGTGGACAGTGCAAAACCCTTGCGTGGGAGAGTAATACTGATTCCACAGTAAACCTCCATCTGGAAGCACACAGGGATCTGAACATATATCCTATTGCCTGGCATAAAATACGTCCACTGTCAAGGCAACTGAAGAGCAGACATGACAAAGAGGGAGTGGGATATTGGTTACAGTGGGATGCAGGGGTGGAGGAAGGGTGGGCAATGGGGGCGGACCGCCCCAGGTGACTTTGCTGAGGAGGGGGTGACATTTGACGTGCCACCCATGACTCCCAAGCCTACCCTGAGCCATCAAGGGAAGGGGGGAGCTGTGTCATTTTGCCAACAGCATTCCCTCCCCTTCCTTTTGACAGCTTGGGGGAGGCTTGGGAGTCGCAGGCAGGTGGTGCACGAATGTCTGTCACCAGCAGCTTGCTCTGGCCCCGGCTGCATGGCCACACGCCGCTCCATGCACCTGAGCAGCTATCCTGCATCTGGGAGGACACGCTCCGCGCCGCGCCCCCCTCAGGAGCGCGCCCACCCTGGGCAGTGCAGGCATATGCTCCACTGCTGGTGGGATGACATATGACAGAGGTGATGCTCACAGTATAAATTTTGAAAAGTGACATATTTTTATGTTTGCATCTGGCTGAGAAAGTTCCCCAAAAGATCTGTTGGGGAAGACCTGGGCAGGAAGTGCAAATCCCAAGGAATCTGCGGTTCCTGTTCTCTCTGCAGCCCTGCTGTGGTGAGGCCAGCAGCGAAGCAACGGGATATGCCTACCCACCTGTCAAACGTGGCCTTCAGGAGAGTGTGTAGATAAGTAGATCTGGCCAGTAGGCCAGATCCGGTTCTCCATCCCTCAGTTAAAGTTAATGGCTTCCAAAGTTGCACACTGGAAATACCGCGTGACTTCCAACAAGCATTTTAAGTTCTTACATGCCATTCCCCTATTATGTTACTCAGAGTTCAGCATAGGTCGTTGCTCTTCTAAAATGTCACCTCAGGAGTTCATACACTTTCTATTTCTGCTAGTGTTGTCATTGGTTCAATATCATTCAGTCACACCAAGACCCTAGGAATGTAGATGCCAGTGCATATTTCTCAGGGAGCTCACCCAGACTAGGTGGATTAGTTAAATGGAAGCCATTTAACAACTCAAGCAAAACTTTGGTTTCCTAGACGCAAGTCTGAATACTCCAGTTTATGTGTTTTGTGGATCAGGTTCTCATAAGACTCAAGGCCTTTACAGAAACAGCATAGGTGTGTGGCTGTTGTGAGTTGGCTTTTTCAAGGGCATCATGCTAATGAAATCCTGCTTTGGAGTTTTTGACCCCCTGCTGTCTCAGCTGTTCACATGATTAATGGCACATGACGGAGTTAGCAACCAGCAGCAGTCAAACTTAGCTCACTGCAGATCCTGGGAGCTCACAAGCAGAGCTCACAAACAGGGGCGTTTGCAAGGGCTTTTAGCAGGGGAGGCCCAGGTTTCTCTTGGTGTGTATAGGACCAGAGACATGGAGGGCAAGGGAGCTGCTGCAGTGACCTATATCGCCTGTGCCATGTTTGTCATTCTGCCAGAGAACAAGCAACAGCACACTTGTAGCAAGTGCAAGGTGGTTGTATTGCTGGAAGTGAAGGTGCAGCAACTCAAGGCCTGCCTAGACACACCTCAAGCAACAGAACAATATGCAGAGTTACTTGACAGAGCTGTTGACTGAGGTTGAGCACCAAGATAGATGAGGTGCCCCCAGGGTGGAGAAAGTTTGCCCATTGCAAGAGTTTAACCCCTGAAAGAATCTGACGTGCAGAAGTAGGACAGTCACAAACCACACTTTGTCTATTAGAGTTGCAAAGTCACTTCCACCTCCAGTCTTCTGTTTGGTAGCAGAAAGATTTGGGCTTTTATTGGTATAAATTATTTCCTTTTAAATTAATATTCATGTAAAATGTGACAGATAAGCAATATCTCATTAGTGAGGATCAGCCCAATGTGCAAATCCCCTGCTTCTAGCCAGATAGAAAAATGCTGTATTTATTTTTATGCGAAATAGAATTATCTATATCTATATATCTACCTATCATCTATCTATCATCTATATCTAGGGTACTTGTAACCCAGTCTTAATTAAAATAAATCCCAAAGCAAGGGACAATATCAAAACATACATCAAATAATATAATATACATAACAATAAGGAAACAATTATAAAGCAAGAATAATCTTTATTGGGAGGTTATGTTATGTATTTTTATGTTTTTATACTGTATAAATCTAACGAACGGTTGTTGCAATTCTAAAAATCCAACCTGAGCATGCTTACTCAAGACATAAGTCCCATCGACTTCTTCCAAAGTGTACTCTGGAATATACTTTGGAGTGTATATTCATTTTCCAAAGTCTACTTATGATGATAGCCTAAAAATTCTGGTACTATATTTGTCAACCACATTGAAAATTTCACTGTGAAAAGAAATCTTTTAAAACAACATCAGGGTGATTTAAACCTGATAGATTTAAACAAATGATGCATAAACAGTACCTGTGCTTTTAGGTGCCCCAGTGGTACTTTGCAGTTTCCCAAATAACTGAAAAATAGTAAATTGGCTTCTTTTTTAGCAGAGAGAATAATAGGCAAACCTTTCTTGCTGCTGTGTTCCAATAATGCTCATGGAACTTCAGGATGGCAAAGATAGATTAAAAGTCTAGCTAAATGCACTTAGAGCAAAGGCATTCTATTAGCTTGGTTCTGTATATTCCCATAGCTGTACTGAAATAAGTTATGTGAGAGCTTTTTGTTCACATGAAAAATCCCAATAAATATTCCAAATATACAAATATTTACAGGGTGAAGCCAGATTTGGCGCAGCTACTGATGGCATGCAGTATGACTAAGAACTGCAATTGTTGATGGCACACATCCAATGGCCAGGGTGTTCAGTGGCTTAACTGGAGATTATGAGCAGCACCCTTGTCAATTCCAACAAGTCTGTTCTAAATGTGATGAAGGCTGCAATCCCAACCCTGTTTAAGTGGGAGTCAACCCCATTTAATTCAATAGGACTGACTTCTGATTAATCATGTTTTGATTGCTCTATAAGTCTGACTCCATCCTAGTGATGCTTCCCCCCCCCCCCTTTGTCTTATGTCTAGGAATTCTCTATACAGTTAAATTCCCAGAGGGGACCGGGTCACGTGGCTGATGGACCACAGATTCATCACCCCTGTTTTAGAGAGTTCTCTTAGGACCTTTACCCTGAAGATTATAAACCATGAGCACATCCACTTTTCTTTCTTTCTTTCTTTCTTTCTTTCTTTCTTTCTCTCTCTCTCTCTCTCTCTCTCTCTCTGTGATGATAGATGTTACTTCTGATTAATGATTATATACTATTATGCATAAGCACATATTTCCAAAACACACACACACACACACACACACACACACACACACATACATACCCTGTCACATGCACAGTGCTGTTACGATTATGTCCATTACTTTTTTCATACTTGTCTTTTCAGTGCAGTCCATGACCCCCTCTAGGCATTCATTTCTTTACTTCATTTTTTGCTAGAGACCTTCCACTGCAGCAGGTTTAACAGTCACTGGCTCCTTGCCTAGGGAAGCATATGCTGCTCTGAACGTCTTAAGAATGAGGAAGAATTGCATTCGAAACAAGCCATTTTCTGTTACAAGGGAAAGAAGAAATTATTCAGGGCCTGACTGTAGCAATGGGTTATTTACAGGCCTGAGGCTGCCTGGAATGCACACAATGAAAGCTACTCAGCAGCTGTTCAGTGTAAAATGCATTCAAAATCAATTTCTAAAATGAATTTATTCTAAAAGCTGCTTCTTCACGGTAGCCATCTTGCTAAGGGAGGGTTAACTTACCACCTCGTGACAACGTATCGTTATAGGTGCACACCCATCACAGCAGCACTTCAAAGGCTCTGTTGCATCCACCAGTTGTTCCCACAGCTGTACTTTCACCTATGCAGCATTTCTTTATAGCTAGTGTAGACTCCTCTTACCATTTAGGTCGATCACTAAGGATACAGGAGGTAACAGAAACAAGGTAGTGCCTCCACTGAATCAGGTCCACTGGACCTTCCCCACACCACAATATTCCGGAAGGCTGAAATGATGCCACTGTCTGTCTGAAATCACTCCGGTGGAAATGATACAAAAGATTTGCATACCGTCTGTGCTTGGTGTTGCTTTCTTATCAAGAAGACTGCTTTGCTTTTCTCAGGGCTTGCCCAAGACATTTTGCGGCATAGAACAAGATGGCAAACACACACACACATTGCCCATCATTCATAGCTCTGCCCTCCCAACACCTGACCGCCACTCTGTGCTGACCAGCATCTCCCACCTGCCTCCCTCTGCCTCATAGCAAGGCCAGTCCTACCTTTTCTGCTTTTTAAATGCAGCAGACGTACCTGGCATTCCTTAATGTACTGTGTCAGCCTTCACCACCCTGACCCCTCCAGGGGTTCTGGGCTATTAACTCCCATCGGCCCAGCTAGCATGGCCTCACTTCGCTGGGGCTGGTGGGAGTTGTAGGCCAGAACAACTGGAGGGCACAAGGTTGGCAAAGGCCGCATGACAAAAGAAATTGTTTCCCCAGAATTTCCAGATTAGCAGAATAATAATAAAATAGTACAGTTTCTAAGACTTTTGGGCAGGAAGCCTAAATGTATGTGTTTTAAATGTATGGTGATCTTACCTCAACAGTAAGACTAGCTTTGGAAGAGAGGTGCAGTTTTTTTAGTAGTCGGAACTGTTTTTACTAGGCTGGATCCAGACTTAGTCATGCTTAGCAGTAGACCCATAAAAACCAATGGGAGTTGTGCTAGTCAAGTAACTTAGGGAAATAGTATTGATTTCAATGTGTCTGGTTTTTTATTATTATTATTTATTTAATGGACTGTTGTTGTGAGTTTATTTTACTAAGGAATGGTAGGTACCATTTTTAAAAAATAATAATAAATAAGTAGGAAGAGCTGTACAAATTAATACACATGTAAAGCAAAAGAACCTCATAGCAGTATTCCAGGCGTCCCCTGTAGAGGCAGCAGGAAATGTTTGGGGATGGGCAGAAAGCAGAACAAATGTAGAGAAGAGCAGCTTGCCTTTGTAGCAAGAATCAATTTGTTACAGAGTCAATTGTGCATATCAAACACTGTTATGGAGTATAAGCAAACTGCGCCATAGCAATATTTCATGCAGACAGGGTCTTGGTCTTGCAAGGTGACAACTAGGCTAGCCAGTTTCGGTCTCTGGTGGGTTGCAACATTTTATGGCAGTTTGGCTTGCTCAGAATCATAGAATTGTAGAGTTGGATGTGACCCGAGGGTCATCTAGTGCAGCTCCCCACAATGCAGGAATATGAAGGTGGTCCGAATGGGAATCGAACCTGTGACCTTGGTGTTATCAGCACCACACTCTAACCAACTGAGCTAACTGTCACTTCAATCAATGCCACTTGATTTGATGGGAATCACTGCACTGGCACAGAGCTGATTCCCACAGAGAATCGGGGCCTTTGTCCTTGTACAATGGCTTTTATGCAATAACAGTGCAATGTTGACCAGAAAATATCTCAAGATTTTGTTTTTTTCCTCCACTCCGTCCATCATTCTGTTTAGCCGGGACTTGAAAGACAAATAACCTGTTCACTTTCACTCTGCTTATATCTATTCATGATATAATGAATAGATCACATCATTGATTTATATTCCACTCTCTTTGCTCAGAGCACTGTTTCTTTTTATCCTGTCCATTTTATCCTTACAGCAACCATGTGAGATAGGTTAACCTGAAAGATAGTGGCCAGGTTCACCTGTCACTCTAAGCTGACTTGGCATGAATGCTTGGACTCCAGGAGAGGTGACTGTGGTTGGTTTGCTCTTCCCCATCTATTCCGCGGTTGGCCGTGCTAAGATAAGCCATGACTTTGTGCAGCATGTCATCTGAACCTGGGCTCAGGGATTAGATCTCTCCAGATTCCCTATAGACTGTAATCCAAGGTTTGTCCTGTGTTTGTTGACTCATGGTTTGTCCGGGAGAGACCGAGTTCAGGTGACACACTAAGCCAAACCATCGCTTAGCACAGTGTAGCACAACAGCAAAATGGCCAGGGAGGAGCAAAGTGGCTGTGTTCTCCTCTCTGGGAACCTGCATAGTCATGTATTGATGCTAAGCCATGGTTTGGCCTAGAATGACATGCAAGCCAGGTTGGTGACAAGCCCAAGGTCATCCAATGACCTTCACTGGCTGAGTGGGAGTTTGAACTCCTGTCTCCCCAGTCCTAGTGTGATGCTCCCACAGTTTTAGTCCATGTGTACTTCAGGAACATCATATTCTTTAAGGAACAAAGTTCCTGCAACCATCATTCTTGCTCTATTCTTCATTCTTTCAAAATGTCTCCTAGGGGGCTTTTCATGCCTTGCAGTAATATCCTTTTAGTATGAGTGATCCAAAGGTTTTCCCAAGCCCTTGCTTTCCTGTTACGGATGCTCCCTGCATTTCTTGCCAAACCCTCCCCCCCTTTTATCTCAATTGCTTTTTTTAACGAAAGCTTTACAAGCAAGTTATAACTTTATAATTGTGACTATTATCTGAGCGAACTGTTATTTCTTAGGTGGAAGCAAAAATAATAACAATTACAATGCAATCCTGTAAATACGAATCATTGAGTTCAGTTGGACTTCCCTCCCTCATAAGTGTATGCAGGATGCAGGGTGGGGGAGGGTTATGTCCCCCTTCCCTAGTGTGATTGGAATGATCACGCATGCACACGCACACAGCAGGCGCCTTGGGGTTAGGAGATGTTCCTTATTTCCACCAGTGGTGGTTCACCATCACCACCAAAAAAAAGTTTGTAGCTGGGGGCAGGGGGAGAGCTTGTTCATTCCAGTCATGTGAGGATGGAAGAGATAGGCCTTCCCTCTCTGCATGCTGCCTTGCTGACAAGGAATCACCCTCATGCCTATGTCTTGAGAAAGAAAAGGATGGATAGGTAGCTACACACAAAGGCTATGTACACATTACCCACTTAAAACACTCAATTCCACACTGCTGTATTTCAAATTGCACTTGCACGTCATTTATTTATTATATTTTAATGCATTTATATCCCACGTTTTCTCCAAGCAGCTCAGGGTGGTCTACATTTAATCCCCACAACCACTCTGTGAGGTAGGTTAGGTTGAGAAGCAGTGACTTGCCCTAGGTCATCCAGTGTGCTTCATGGCTTAGTAAGGATTTTTCAGTCTTGCTCTCCCAGGTCTTAGCACTCTAACCACTACACTAGGCCTGTTGTACACAACAGTATGGATGAATGTGTTTCCAAGCTGCCCTCTGCCTCACCACAGCAGTGGATGGAGAAGGTGTGCGGCTGTCTTCACATGGCTTACATTTTCAAGTTGGATCAAAGCTGGTTTGGGAGCAAACAACGTCAAAACACAGTATTTCTCAAGTAACTGCAGGACTGATGCGGGTTGTGGCTGATGTCATGTGTGCACAGCTTCACAAACCAGTGGTGGGAGCACACTGGATGCTGAGTAAATGGGACAGTCTGTGTATCTAGCGAATATCTAGTAGGTATCTGCTGAAACTCAGCATGCTAGATAAGGTGCCTGTTTAGCAGATGTACAGAAAGCACATCTTCCATTTGTCAGAAACTGGAAAGTGGGGTGGCTTCAGAAATCATGAAGCAGTGAGCATGGATGTACTAGTGATTCCAAACACTTCTTCAATGTCATGCCTGCACAAAAAACACACTCATCTCTTAAACAGTAAGATGTACCTGCTTCCCTCGCTCCCCACATTCACATCAGCGCTTGCCACTCTATTGTAGCAAAAGTAGCAGGAACAAGTAGCACAAACAAAGCAAGAGGTTCCCATTGCACTACACTGAGGGTTTTTAACACTGCCCATGCAGTGTTCTTCTGCTGTAAGATAAATGATTTCCCATGCTTCAGAAGAGGCATTCCCTCATCTTTCACGACAATTTTCACTCACTCTTTACAGGACAAAGAGAGGGCATTCCTCCATTGTGGATGCACCCAGCGATCATTCCTTTCCCTTTGTAAGCCAACTGGGTTATTGCATTGTTTGCTTCTTTAAAATGCCACCTCTTCTTGGGGCTTCTTCCTTAGAAATTAGTTGGTTAAGAGCCTCTGTCAATCACTGATCTGTCTTCAGTGATGGATTGGAAAATCCTTTAATGAGTTTTCAAAGCACTTGTCAAAGCTACTGTCTAGATAGTAGCTCAGTGGTAACACAACAGGGAGCAGAAGAGACAGTTGCAGTCTTTAATTATATTCCACCCATAGCTTTGTACAGCTTTATATCCCAGTCATTAGCTATATGCGTTGGACTGTTCCTACACAGTTTTAGTGTTAGGCTCTTTTAATGTTAGTTGGGTGGGTTTGCTAAAGTGCATTTGAAAGGTACAGTGGAGGTAATGACCGTTGCTCAACTGGACTTAGTCTTTTAAGTCTCGCCACATCACTTCCTTAACTTTCCTTTTTGCAAAACTTCTTTCATGCATCTGGTTCAAGGGTTTCAAAAAATTGTTGATATCAAATATGTCTTCTGCCTTTCCTGCTATTTAAGAGCTATTTTAGAGTCTCACCTTTGTGGAATGTAAGATGATGAAGCAAAAAAGACTTGACATATTTGGAGTATATTTGGGCAGGCTGTGCGTTAATTTATCGGGGGCAGATTCAGACACTTTGGGGCTTACTTGGTCTCTGGTCTTCCCCATCAACATAGAAGCATGTTTGCAAAGTGGGATACCATGTCTGATTTCACCAATGCCCTTTACAGAAGTGTGATGATAAAAATTTGACATCCCACATTCCATGAATCTCTCTGTGTACTGGACACCTGAACATGCATATATGAATTGCACAAAGACTTGGGTCTTTTGTAAGAAATACAGGGGAGATAATTTCACAGTGCCTCTACCTGTGAAACTAGTTTTTATGTGTGTGTTTTAAATACGGATTTACCTAGTGTGTTCTGTAATTGCTGTTGTGATTATTTTGTCAAAGAGGTATTTATACCACAAGTCCTTTATTATAGGACAAAGCTACAGAAATCTGGAGAGATTTCAGGGAGCTTTAAATGCATAATTGCTTTGAAAACTCTTAATTGGGATAGTTATCCTGAAGCTACAATTCTGCAATCCAGTATTGGCTGAATGTGGATTTATTTAGTTGGCCTTCTGTTTTAGATCATTTTTTAAAAAAAATTCAAGCCCAGATGGGCTTTTGTAGTTTCACTTTTCATTCCTAAAATGTAAATTTATAAAAGAAGAATAGTCAAAATTACATAAACATTATTATATGTTACTGTTGAAAAGCCAATAGGAAATCCAGCTGTTTTAGTACGGTAACAATTTTATACATTGTTGCTTGACTCAAGCAGCTGCTAAACCTCCGCTTCAGAAGTCTTGCAGGCAAAATATAGGAAGAAGTATGTATCTAAAAAGCCATGGACTTAGATGCAAGACAGCCTTAAAAAATTAACAATAAAACAATTTGGTCACAGAAGACATTTCTCTGTGCAATGGAAGTGCGTATCATACATTGATCTTCCAGGAAAGCCTGCTTTGTATTCCATCAACATCTGAGATACGGTTGGTGGCATAAGGGACAATGGCTCCTTGATTGTGGTACCCAGAGTTTGGAGTTCCACACTTGGGTGATCCAGTTGCCTTCCTTTCTCTCTGTGTTTTGGCACTAGATAAAAACAAAATTGCTTAATCATGCATCAAGAGGCTACTCTGTGATAATTTGGTATTGGTTTGCCAGTCTCGTAATGCAACTTTTTTCTGTTTTTGCTTTTATTTCCCCATGGGTTTTATTGGTATTGTTTTTGTTATGATTTTTAATTTCCTCAAGGGCCCCTTTACACAAAAGAAATGTGGGCCATTAAGTATTGCAAAAAAGAAATAAACCTGCATGTGCATCATTGTGAGTTTTTTCACCATATATACACTTGCCAGGAAGTTACAAGTGGTTTCAGTTTCCTAGCATTTGTATACATGTAGAAAAACTAGAGATTGCACATTCCTTTCATGGAAGTACTTCCCTTGATGTTACTTCATAGCATTTGAACCAGGCATGAGATTGCAGAAGATGGAGAACAAACAGAACAGAGGAATGGGGAATTCTAGAGAAGTAGGCTGAAAGGCAAAACAATCCAGGGGAGGAACTGTCCTTAACCGGAAGACTGTTTTAAAGTTCAGGAGACGTAGCAAGCCTTGCCAACCAGTTGTGTTCTCATAAGGCTCCTGAGATGCTGCAGACAAAAAGCTGAGGCTGAGGTGGTTGCTTACCCAAGATCCATCCACTGAACAATCCAGGACACTGGCTTGGGGAAGGGTTGGAGGGAACAGAAACACACACAGTTAAGAATACACAAAAGAGGAACAAGTGGCCACAGCTCAGGGGTATGACACTACACTTTGCATGTAGAAGATCCCAGATATTTCCCACTCAAAAGACCAGTGAGGAAAGGCCACTCAATGTCTTGGACCATGAGAGCGTCTTCCAATTAGAATAGGCAGTACTTGGCTCAATACAAGGCATCTTCTCTCATTTAAGATCAGATTGTAGGAGCTAAGTTGGAATTTGGGGGATGTGAGAATTTGGCTTTGACATTCTTTTCTTATTTCAGGTGAGCCGGAGCCAGCCGTCAGTAGCGATTCAGATATTTCGTTGATCATGGCAATGGAGGTTGGACTCTCTGATGTAGAGCTTTCTACTGACCAAGACTGCGAAGAGGTGAAATCCTGAAAAAGCAGCTCAAAAGACCCTTCCACTAAACTAAAGGGCAGTAGTGGGGAGGGGAAGGAAAAGAATTAAGTTCTGTCAGATTTGGACCACTGGTGTACACATGCATTCTCATTCACACATGTACACACACACACACGCGTAACCATACACACGTCCAGAACGTTTTGTGAACTCCAGTACGCTCCATTCTAGGATGGTCATGAAAAGCAATAGCAACAGACGTGTCTGCTTGGATGCAATTTCATCATTAACTCAGTGTGTCCATTTCACTGACACTGGAAGGTGATCAGAAGAGTTATTCACCTCCTTGGTGGTTCATAACGATGTAACTGAAATGACAGCTGGTGTGTTTTCTACCTTTCTTCAGTCCCTGGTTGTTGTTGTTTTTTTAAGCAGAAGAAAGCACTCCAAGGTGATTATTTATAGCTTGTTTCGGATGGACATGTCTTTCTTCCTCTCAACAGCCCCCCCCCCCCAGCTTTTTCAAAAGTTCAGCCCAGAAATCTGAATAATTTTATGGGTCACCAAGTTAGTGAATGAGGTAAACATTGCTTTGGAAAGAAATGGTGCTTCAGAGCAGTGTCTTGGTCTGAAGCTTCTTTTCATTGTGGTTTTAGTGGGACTTGGAGATTTGTGCTTCCGGATCTCCCAGCCAGGAGATAGGTGACTAGATTTACTGAAGTTGGTGACTTGCTGCTTAATGTTATTAGTTCGCATTCAGAGTTTCATGGCTTGCACATATGATACCAAGTGAGAGAAGATCAAGATGATAATAATGGGATTAAAAGTCAGCCTGTTCTTGCAGCCTATTTGCTATATTTTCTGTCATCACAAATCTCTCATTCCTTAATGGTCTTCCCTATGATTAGTATGTAATGAGATTCACTTTCCCCCCCTTCTTCTTCAGTGAAACTGTTTGTGGTAAGGGGAAAAGAGAACAGAAATTTCTGGAAGTGTGGGGGAAGAAGCTAGGTGATGATGGCCATAATAGGAAAGTTACAAATGGACTGAAGTATTTTTTGCATAACCACCTTTACCACCACCCAACACTCTAGTTCACTCTTGCTTCCTCTGTTCATAGGTGAAAACACTTCCTACTTCCAAGGTCCCTTTCAGTCAATAGGGGTAAGAATGTGCACACACTCCATCAAATGTACAGCTCTGTGTTCATTCTGCTAGATGAAGGGCCAATCCTCCAATTCAGGTAGAGGACATGTGTTCATGGGTGACAGCAAAAGCACACGAGGGCTGAGATTATTCCCTGCATAACCTTTAGTCAAATGAAAAACTAGCACATTCAGACCTGCATTGAAGCAATTCACTAGTGTGCACAAACAGTGGGAAAGAGGCTCAGAGGCACTGAGGCACTTTTACTGGCATGTGTGAAAAGATACTCTCACAAAGCGTTCTGTTGTTGTTCCTGGTATGGAAGTCAACTCTTGCTCCCTGGCTTCTGAACTCACTTGGATGTAGATCCTCAGCGGGTTAAAGAAAATGATGAGGCTCTTCTTCCCATGTCATATTTTTGAATTGTAATAGAAACCTGAAACATTCCAAAATGAATTAACTGTCAGTTTCAACTGCATATGTTGAAAAGGGTTGCCATTAAACTGCTGGGACTCAAGAGATCTTGCATTGTGCTGTAGTTTCAGGGGATTTGCTATTGATACAGAGGGCAATTGTATATTTCAATCAAAATACTTAAGCGTTAAGGAGGACTTTTCAGCTTGTTGTCTTTCATAAAAGGGTACGCTATTACTCCTGACAATATGAACAGTGATTTAAATTGCGGTAGGTAAATAGGCTTAGCACTGTAGCCTGTGCTAAAAAAAAAAATACAATAGAAACAGAATCTATTAGAATTCCTGCATTAGAGTAGTACTATAAGGATTGTTCAGATATAATGCCATCTGCCCATAGTTTGGCACTTTGCGAACAGGTCCTGTGCCCACATGCTCCCACCCACTCAGTGGCTAGATTTTGTAGGGCCTGGCAAAATGGCTACAGAAGCAACCTCCCTCTTCATTTCCTGAGGGGAACCTTGCAGTGGGTGGTAGGAGCTGAATGTCTATCCTGAGAAGAGGGGAATACACGCCTAAGGGGCTTATTCATGTAGCACCATGAATTTGGTTTGGTGTTCCATCTGAAGCAACCCTAAGTGTTACTATGGAGCTGTCGTAATTGCCCTATATAGAGCATTGCTTTCAGTGAGCTTTAAATCACTTTGAAAGATCATGCTTGCCTCAACATGTTGAAGGCTTATGTGTGGGAAGATGGGCACCTTAAAAAAAAAAAAAGCTGCCATCTTCTACTTATTCTTTCATAATCTCATTTAAATTGAGCCAAAATAAATATGTGAGGACAAATTGAGACCTATGTTTATTGCTGTTTCAGGCCAACTTCAGACTGAGAGGATCAAGCTTTCAGATTAGGCTTTTCATACCTCCAGTAGTTATGGAGAAGAGAGAATTTTGGCAGGTGTAACTTACATCGCAGCTCTACCAGGCTTTGTAAAGCTGCACCTGTGAAAACATACTCAGTTATCCCAACTGTTAAAAATGTAGGAGCCGTAAGATGGAAGCATTTGCCATCTCTGCTCTGGAATTCACATTTCCCTGTCTTCCAGTGTGGTTGGGCATAAGTGTTGAGGGGAGGTCCATCTTCAATTTCACTTTATTATTTCTGAGGCACGTCAGGAATATCATATTCAGTTAGAAAGAAGCAAAGCACAGCCCTAATCTAGTGGAGCCACCTTTTAAAGTGGGTTTTCTATACAGGCCCTATCGACCCTATATTGCTATGTGGCTCGCATGAATATAGCAAGATCGCAAATAGTATGTATCCATCTAGCTGTGCTGTAAGTTGTACTCCTTTTATAATCTCTTACCATGCATCCAGAGTTGCACTGGCAAAAGCTGGCTTCGTCACAGTGAATCTTCCTACCTCTGTTCCTCCCCCATCTCTTCTGTAATTTCTGTGCTATCGGATAGCTTTGAGCACCACTTTTATGTCACTTCAAGTATTGGAGGCTGTTACTGGTGCATCCACTAATGCTCGGTTGACAGAACAGCGTGAGTTGTGTCACCTCACCAAAACTACCACCCTTTCAGCTTATTCTGCCTAGTTGCCCATGTAGAAGTGACAGGGAGGAAAAGGCTAATGGCCAACTCCCAATTAACAACATATTCATCCATCTCATTTCCCCCTGCCAAAAAAATGTAGAAATGTAGAAAGAGTACAAACCATAATTCTGGAAACATTGGTTCTTTTGACATGCGTCTTCTGCTTTAGGAAGCTGCCTTGTAGCAGGTCAGATTGTTTGTCTATCTGGCCCATATAGACTATTCTTGACTGGCAGTGGCTGTCCAGGGTCTCAGGCAAAGGTGATTTCAGTTATCTGCTACCTGGTCTTCCTAGGAATTGAACCTGGGAACTTCTGCATGCAAAGGATGTGTTCTGCACCCTTTCTTTGAGAGATCCTTCAGGGATAATTTGTTATAGTACAGGAACCAGGCCTTTATTTACTGGAGGATGGAAACCTTTAAACTGATATGGAAATAGCAAAAACAAAACAAAATAGTCCTGGAAAATCAGTTACCGGTAAATGTCTTCAGAGTTTTTTTCAGACCCTTGTATCCAAAGAAGTTTCTTTTGGAAAATAGATTTATGTCAAATTTCAGAGAGCGATTCCAGCCTTGTAAGTGACTGAACTATGCCATGGATCGATTAGGACTGAAAATAGAAGGCCGGGAGGAAGCTCAAAGGTGCTTGGGTGCCTCATCCTTCCAGACGTACTCTAGCCTCAGGATGCCTAGGAGGAGGCAGCAGCCATCATATGAACAGGGGAGTATGATTTGCTTTGAATCTCTTTGCTGTCTGGCAGGTATGGGGAACCTTTGGCAGAACTACAACTCCCATCGGTCCTAGCAAGCATTGTCAATGACCAAGGATGATGGGAGTTGTAATTCAGCAATATTTGGAGGGCCAAAGTTTCCCCAGATCTGCTATACAGAGTGAGACAGCTGCTGAGGAACAGGGAGATGTGGCAAGGTGTTGTGCCTGTTCCACGTGGCCTGCCCTTCCCCCTCCTAAGCCAACCTGCTGTTCTCAGGTGCAGTGGAAGCTTCTGTCCCACTCCCAGCATTGAGGTCAGATTCAGCTGCCAGTGTAATCAGCTTTTATGCATGGATTGAGGAGAGGTGCCATCTTTTCCTTCAGCTGTTGCTGCGTCAAGATTTGAGTGTGATAAATCTCCCCCAAAGTCATATGATCTTTGTCCATTTGATCAAATGCCCCGAGCCCAGGATCATGGTTCTCTACCAATGTATAGCTCTATTATCTTCACCAGTGTTAAGAATAGGTACCATTTTAACTTTGACCTTCCAGTATTCCCTCCCAGACCTTGCTATATGAATATGGCTAGAGGTGTTTGCATTGCACAGTATAAAGGCAGCGAACAACCTGAAGTTTTGCCCAGGAGTTCAGTTAGAATTCAAGCCCTCAACTTTCTTCCTCCAGTATTTCTACGCTGCCATCAATAGAAACCACCTCACAGACATTAACAGCAGTGTCACTGCCATGGTCAGTCACCTAGAGTGCGCCTTTACCAAGAAACACATGGCGTGGCCTGAGAACAGGCAGCTTCTAGGGCAGCCTGGCTGGGCTATTTCTGTACCATCCTGAGGCAGCTGGAGAAGAAGCCCTATTTTTGATCAGCTGTGGGATGGCTTCTCTTGGCAACAAGAGGAACCAGCCTAAAAGATGCGAAAGGATCGGGCAGTTCAGGAAATGTAATGCACATCATGGATACCTTCATAAGCAGATATGATTGATGGCTGTATTTCATGAGTGTGCACTCTAGCCCTATGCATTTCTCCTGGGAAAGAAAGACCTGCTGCATTCTGCAGGGCTTATTCTCAAGAATGCATGCATCTACAGGTGGGCCTGTTAGAAGTAGGCAGAAGGCAGTCCATTAAAGCAAGGGGTTATTTGAGGAAAGGCTGAGCTTTAGTAAAGTTGTTTTTTAAATAATAATAATTGGAACAGTTGATACAAAGCAACTTAGGTTCTTTGTTTTGACAAACGGTTGCATAAACTAACTGATAGTTCTGCAGCAGTAACAACGTGAGAGAATTTCTAGTCTAGAAGGGTCTTGGCATACCAGATGGTGTTTGTTAATGCATTGTATAGCAAAGTAGAAGAGCGCCCTCTGCTGCCTGACTTCCAGCCGCCAGAAGCCCACTTTTAATTCTATCATAGATCCAGCAGCTGGAAATCTGTCACTGGTAGAAATGTTAATTCTTTGGTGCCCAGGATGTGGGGTGGGGAAAGGATGTACCCGCTTGGCTATAACAATAATGAGACGGGAAAAGGATTGAAGGTGCTGAAAGTGTAATATAGCATCATCTTATGCTCATTTGTCTTCAAAAATATTTTGCTTTCTGGTCAAAACGTTACCTTGCAAGAAGGAATTCAAAGAAGAAAGGACAAAAGAAGGAAGAGGATGCTGTCATCACCCCCTCCCCCTTATTTGCTAATTTTAAAATACTGCCTATTTTTAAAGGCATCAGATGATACACATGTCTTTGCCATGAATGTATATGTATATGGTTATTACAGATGTGAAATATCAAAAGTGTTTTTTAACATGTACATAGTATCACCTTTTCTTCCTGTTTTCATGTTAAGCAACCTGAGGCTATATACCATTTTATAAATAGAATGGAATGTAAACTAGGGGTTGGGGTGGGAAGGGCTGTTATTTTTATAGCAAGATGTTCCTTGTACCTCGTGAGCATTTTAAAATGATTTTGTACTTGTCAAAATATACATTCCATCCATTTCCTGAAAATATTTATTTTTATTTAAAGTAGTTTATAAACTAAAACAAGACGTCCATTTGGTATAACGTTCATCCATAACGCTAAAAGTATTTGGTTTACAGTAATTGCTCCAAAGTTCTCTCCTGCCATGTCATGTAGCAGAATGCACACCATACCAGCAAATGCCAATAATTTTTTAAAAGGCAGATAAATGAATAAAAATACTCCTTTTATGCAGTTATGTTGAAATTATTTCTAGCTACCAAAACAGTGTTTTACAGCAGAACACTCTTAAAACAGTTCATTCTCCTGCTATTTCCCCCCTGAATTTAGAAAGTGTCAGACAAAAATAGTTTGAACAATCAGCCTGCTGTGAAAAGCAGTTGTGTTCACACATGCAAGCTACTCTGCTGTTTATAGCAGAAGTTGGCTGTGTACAGCACTGATTGGCTGGCTCCCTGTGTTATCACAAGGCCATTTCCTCCATTTGCCAAGCTGTTTATTTCTTTTTTCATTATTATTTCAATAAATGATTTTGTTCCTTTAAAATAAGTAATATAACCAATTGGATGCTCAGTTCAACTGGATGTTCAATTCAATTAACATTCACAGTGTTCATTAAGCACTATAATGTTCACATACATAACAAAACATCCCTGCTTTGACAGTGGAAGCAATTCATCACCTTCTAAATCTCACCTTGAAGCGGCTTATAAAGGAGGGGTATGTGTGTGGCAGAAATCATCAAGATTACCCAATGACATTTGCATAGGCATTTTTTTTTTATCTTAACATATTTTGGCAGCTGTGAATTGTCTGCCTATGCAGCGCTGAAATAGTTCTGTGAAGGATTCATTTTACGACACATTCTGTACAGTATTGCAAATGTATTTCAACTGCTAGTGAAGTTGCTGTTACTTTATTATGCATCCTTATATATCCCACCCTCCCTTCCAATGCACTTTATATCATTTGGAAAATGTGGGAGTCTGACAACTATCATATATAAAGGGATTTGCCTGAAATCGTGGCACAAATATTGATTTTTTAAAAATTTTATTTTTAAAAAAACATTACTTTGGTTAATTGTGTCCTCACTGTCCTTTACAGCAGTGACTCAGCTGTGGGAGGAAATATGGAGATGTTAAGGTTGATATTGGAGAAACATTATTCAGTAGTACAACATGGCTATTTTTGTTATATAGAGGACTATAGTGTAAATATGTGAGACTGTGTTATTCTGTATTAGTAAAATATTGCAACTGTAAAAGTTAAAGGATTGTGAAATCGGAGGAATTTTATTGCAAGCTTTCTTTTTTAATAAAAAACTATCTGATTTGTGTCCTACATTTTCCCTAACAAACGTATTAGGCAAGTGCACAAAGGCTTCTTTTCCAAATGATCTCAAGTTGAATTCTGAAGAGAAACAAAATAATCTGAAGGCACCCACCTCACAAATGCTCACTGCACCTGCTGGTGCAAATGCAATCTCAAAAGTGTCCATATGAGGTGGGAGTTTATTTCTCAATAAATGAAAAATTGAACTGAACGAGGCCCGTTCAGCTCAGCTTTCATATTTTTCCTGCTTCCTATTACCTATTTGGATGGAGTGGTACAATCATATATGGTGCAGCAGGAGCCGAGTTTTGTTGCCACTTTCATCCCAAACAGTAATGGGAGTTGTGGAATTCTAGAGCATTCTGGCTAAAAAAGAGTGGTGGCTGCCGTCACAATTTCCCCCAGTGCTGTGCTGAAAATTTCTGTGTGGTGTAATGGTTAAGAGCAGTGGACTCGTAATCTGGTGAACCAGGTTCGATTCGCCGCTCCTCCACATGCAGCTGCTGGGTGACCTTGGGCTAGTCACACTTCTCTGAAGTCTCTCAGCCCCACTCACCTCACAGAGTGTTTGTTGTGGAGGAGGAAGGGAAAGGAAAGGAGAATGTTAGCCGCTTTGAGACTCCTTAGGGTAGTGATAAAGCGGGATAGCAAATCCAAACTCTTCTTCTTCTACATTTTAAATAACCGTTCTCAATGAGAAAAGAAATTGTATCTGTCAAAGAAGTGAGACAATTTCAGCAAAAGTCTGTTGCATGGGCTGCAATGTTTTTGTTGTGCTAAAATTACTCTCAAGGTTGCCAAGGTGTTGTTTGTAGAATGTTCTTTCATTTTAAAAATGGCATCTCTGATTGTCTGCACACTTCAGCCTTCCTAGCTGCCCACACTTCCTGAAAAGCCCTTGGTCTCCTCAGCTAGGCTTTCAACTAAGTGCAGCAGAGGAGGACTGTGTAAAGTACTTTTGCTTTTTAAGAAATTGGGGCAGGTTTGTTTTTAAAAAAATATTGATTGAATTAATCAATTAAAATCCAGGGGAAGACATAATGATGTAAACTTCACCCTCTGGCCTTTTTCAGATCAGAAAGAACAAGCAGGTGGGAAGGCTGAAGAGAGCACTGGAGAAATGTTTGATAGGAAGAAAACACACACACATGCCTATCACACACAAGTGCATCAGTATCCAAATTGCACACCCATCAAATTCATAAAGAAATTTTCAAGTGTCTCATGTAAGGCAGAAAAACAGAAGCCTCTTTCACAGGTAAAGAAAAAATAGGAATTGGAGGGTGGGTTTCAACACAACCCTAGCTTGCCTCTTAGAAATGCCCTAGAGAAGGCAGCCCCCAAAGTTATCTGTTCCATTGTCAATATCCCTCGTGGTAGCATTATAGAAAGAAAGAAAATTAAATGAATGCCACTGTAATCTTTAACAATACAAATAGCATTGCAAAATGAGCACAATTTCTTGCATACCCTGCATTCCCATTACTGGAATCTTGAAATTCTTTGGCTCCGTAGCTACAAGCAGTGCCATTTGGTGCTGATTACTCCTCAGTCTCTTTTATTTAACACAGATTGTAAGATTTCAGCCTTTTTTTTTAGAAATACATGTACAAAATTATTTCCCCCCCGCATAGAAAATATAGATATTATTCACAGGGAAAGATGGGTTCCAACCTGACATGATTCAGCCGCAAGCCTTTTAGTTGAATTTTCAAGCATTGGTGCTTTCATTCACCGATGTGCAGAAACATTTGATGTTCCTCTGTCTCAAATTAGAGTATATATGAATCTGTCAGAAGAGGCATTAATGTGGTAGCAAGGAAAGGGGATTAAACAATTACATTTTCTACGTTTGTTATTAGAGCTCAGCAACTTAACGCCCCCCCCCCCCCGGGACAATGCAAATGGACAGTCACGTCTGTGCCATGAAATTTCCCCACAGGTTGGCCATTGTGAGAACAGGACGTGCGACTACAAGGGCCATTGGCCTGATCCAGCAGGTCCTTGTTATGTTCTTAAGTCTGCAAAAAGTGAAAATGCCACAAGATGAATGTTTGCCTTTCCTTAGAACAGTGGTGGGAACAGGCCGTGCTCTAGATGTGGTGGGCTCACTCTTGATCTCCAGGGTGGGCCCACAACATCTGCGGATGACATCCTCTTCTGCGTCATGTGAAAGGTAGAAAACTGGGTAGACTACGTAGAACAAACTTGGCCTCCTGGAGTTAATGGGGGCCTCAATAGGAAAAAGGTTCCTCACTCCTAGTCAGAGTCAGGACCAAGCTAAGTCTTGTGACCAGCCACAGCCTGATGTTAAAGGCAATTCCGCTACAGTTATTCTTTATGTGACTGGGAAGCACACTGAATCAGAAACAGGAAACGCACACATTTCCAGATGTTTCTGCCAGTGATGCTGGGATGTCTCCCAATAGCCCTAAAAACATGTCAGCCACTTGGTGATACAAGAGGCTTCCCCTCCTTAACATTTTGGTTCCAAGAATGGAAGCAAGTCGCCACGGAAATAAGCCCTAGAGTTGTCTGGCTTTTTCAAAAGAAATAAGTCACTTGAGTATTATAAGCCATGCCCTGTTCTTGCAGTTGTTCCTCCAGCTTCCCTTTCCTCTCTCCTCATTGCCTTTTGTTCTTCACATACATTTAAAATACGGTCATGGGAGAAGCCAGCGCCAGCGTTTCTGGCAGGCAGCTGGACCAAGTTGCTATGTGATCTGCACACACAACACAGCTGTCATTGATATTATAGATCTTAAGGGAGGGAATGGTCTCAAATATCTGAAGAGTACATATTGAAGCTGGGGGGGGCAGCATTGGGAGGGGGCAAGAAAGAATGGTATTAGTATCTATAAATAAATACAAAAGGAGGAACTGCCAAGTCCAGAATGAAGGAACAGCTTTTTGAGAAATAAACTACCCCAGCTCGGCTTCTACCGGAAAGCTCTGGCAGTTTGGGGATAAAGACTCAATGTGGGGAAATGATACAATCCTTACTTTAATTTTATTGAAGCTCAGCTCTGTACATGTCAATATGAGTGTCTCATTTTGATGTAAAGAGCCTGACACTAACCTATTAAAATATCTGCTGCTGACTGCGGAGAGAGATTCTGGTTCAGGACTTAAAGAAGTTCTCCCACTCACTGATTCATGCTAGCTGTATTTTTAAAACTGTTCAGATGGTGAAAGCACATTGGCACTGCTATCTGGGTTTGAGAAACCAAGAGTGAGAGCCCCCCATTGGCTGGGAATCCGGGAACAATATAGCTTATTGCAATTGTGTAAAATGATATGTGTTATGTACTGAAGTTCTCACCCTGGGCCAGCAGGGGGATACTGTAGATAGTTATGCAAATGAAGGATCGAAAGTGACATTCAGTGATTGGATAGTTTGTATGCAAATGAAGGATCAAAAGTGACGTTCAGTGATTGGATAGTTTTAGAAAATGGCAACAGTTACATTGTTCTGGAGCTCTATATAAGCAGGCTGACTGAGCTCCTCAGTTAGTCCTGTTCCAGCTTACAAATAAAGAGCTGCTTGGAAGAATCGCTGTGTCGTCTGCTATGTCTACCCACAACTTAACAATATGTAAGCAGAGTTTTGCTCTTCATGTCTGCACTTTCCATATGCAGAGCCGTGTATACAGAGACATTTGAACAGCTGCAACCCTAAGCAAAAGGGTTGGTCAGGTGAAAAAAGAAGGCAGGGCTTCTCCTATACCTTTAATAGGTGCGTAGAATAGGGATTTTCAGCAGGTGTAGTTTGCATTGCAAGCTGCATCTGTTGAAATGTCCTCATCTAGCAACTATCCAGGGAACAGAAGCAGCATTAATTTTTTTTTTCAACTGGCTGCCCCATCCTTAAAACACACTTGAACAGTCTCTCTGTAAACATGCATAGACTTTAACGTAAGCATAGTCTGGTGCACTTTGCTCAGTTAGGTTTTTTAATCCTAAACCAACAATAGCAAATGAAACAGAACCTAGCACACAGGTTGTTTTTGTAAGCAACTGATATGCCCTCCAACAGTTCAATAGATGAAAACAGCCCAGCACCAAGGCCTGGTGGAATATGGTGAAGCAAACACCATTCTAGTTAAAAATGCATGAAACCAGATGGTTCTAAATGCAAAAGCAGCCAAGCAAGTCAAATACACAAAACACTGTGATGCCTGAATAGGAATTTCTCCTGGACTTTGTCTCTGAATGAACATCTAAAAGTTACACTCTTTTTCACAATGCTGCATCTAGATTTTGCGTTCCCAAATTGTGGTCCACAGACCATCAGTGGTCCATTAACTTCATTCAAGTGGTCCACAGTGTGCCTGCATTACATATTAATATTGATTCTTAATTGTGCTTTTATTGTTCCTTTTATTTCTTATATTGTACTTTATTGTATTGCAATTTGAATTCCATAAAATTTAAATACTTCATTTCCCTAAAATATATTATCCTTTGGTCAACAGAAATACTTATCTACACAACATTCATGCAGGTTTCAAGTTTAAATTGGCCCCTTTAATGCTATGCAGGCTATCATCAGTAAAGAGCAGGTATCTACCCCAGAATCAGAGGGTGGGAGGAGACAGGCCAAGAAGCAGAGAGGAGTCAGGCTGGTGGAGAGTCACAGGTTTCTCCCCCTCCTGCTGCAACAAGATTTCCCCTCCCAGCTTTCCAGAACCAGAAGAGGCATGAAAAGAGCAGAAGAGAGGGTGGCTTCATGCAGGTGCAGTCTACAATTGCTTGGGGAAAGCCCTGGAAATGAGGGGACTTTAGACAGCTGTGCAGTGGCGTAGCATGGGGGGTGCAGGGGGGGCCAGCCGCACCGGGCGCAACATCTAGGGGTTAGGGTTAGGGGGCGCAAATCTACGGGTTAGGGGACGCAAATCCACGGGTTAGGGGGCGCAAATTACTTGCCTTGCCCCGGGTGCTGACAACCCACGCTACGCCACTGCAGCTGTGGGAAGGCAGGGACTGTTGGTCTCTGCAACTAATTCAT